TTTGTGGGGCGGCAGCGGCCGATGCGGATCGGTGTCGCGCTTTTAAGACGCCGAAGTGCGGGAGGCGTCGCCCCGCCGACGCGTTAACGAAGCGTCCATTGAAACGGGGGGTCCTGAAGCCCCACTTGCGTTGAATCACGCGTGGCGGTAAGTCTTCCGGGGGACATCAAAATCTCGGGGGGTGGGGGGGGGGGTTTGTCAGCAGAGTAGTAACACGGCACTCAGGACGATGCAATTGCGCGTGAGTTCTCCCCTCTTCCGGTATCGTGAGATATTTTCTCCTGCCCCGTGACCATGTCACGTCTTTGTTTTTTTTTTTACTTACACGTGCCTCCTAAGTTGCAACTCTAAGCAACAAGCTCTCACCGTTAGAGTCGAGTGGAATGAGGTTCGTCGCGCTCATGATCTCCACGACCACCTTCTGCTCCGCGCTGTTGTAGTAGCAGATGGCGTTCAGCGAGCCGTACTTGCTGGGCTCCGTTGGTTTCTGCATTCGGAGGACCACACACCGACGCACACGCGCCGCCCGGTTACGCTTGCGCGCGTGCCGGGGGGCCCCCTTGCTTCAAGTCGGCAGGTGGCTCTGCCGGAAAAATTTCCAGCCCAGAAAACAAAAAAATCATGGTCATAATAATAATGAAAAATCTACATGGCAGGCCTCCTTGCGAGAGCAGGCCTGGCGATGCCCGTAGCGACACCCGACGGTGCATTAACCGGCATCGCCTCCGCTTCCCTGTTGCCTTCTAATTAATTCCCCCGGAACAGGGAAAAATCCCACGGCGTAGTTTATTGTCTCCGAGAAAAATTTGGTAGCCATTCCACATCCCTCCTTAATTTATCGCCGTCTTCCTGCCGTTTACTTAATGAACTCCCGATGGGGTGTGGGACGAGGGTGGTGGGGGAGGGGGGTGGGTGGGACGCAGGCATTCGTGGCGTATTTATTATCGTTGAATTCTTGTGGGTTAATTTTGTAAACACTCATCTTTGATGGTGGCACCTATTTGCCTTGAGAAATGAACTCGGGACGGGCGATAGTCCGCATTCACGTCAGGCGGCGAGCCGCTGGCTCTGCCGCGCAGGTGATAAATGGGCGCTGACATCGCGGAGCTGTGCAGCTGCCCCTGCTGATAAAACCATCTCAGAATTATTCATTGGCTCTGAGCAGTTTGCTTTGGTAGGCTTTGTGGCAGGTTGGCACAAAGGGGGTCTTAACCCTGGCCATCATCCGTGGAGGGGAAATCATAATGGGGGGTTGGGGAGGAGGGGGGGGGGGGTGGCCGGGCAGCCTCCGGTGTCAGAACGCTGAGCCGGCGCTGCTGAGGTCCTTAGTTGGAATCTGGGTTTCAGCCGTCCGAGATTCGAGCGTGGCTCTCTCAAGTGTAGCGAGTTGATGGCCTCTCACCGGTTCACCGATAATGACAAACCATGGTAAAAATGTGGGTTCGTCGAGGTGTCATGAACGTCTCTATAACATGATATTTGGGGAGCATGCAGTACCCATAACGTAGATGAGAAGTCACTGGAAGGGATTTCAGAAACTCTCCTGTTCTACAACTCTCCGACGTGCTCTCAGATTGTACATCGTGATGCCCAACGGTACCGTGCCACACGAAACAAAACTGCATTGGCCAGCCTGAGTCAGAGAGCTGGTCCGAGCAGTGTCAATAAAATGGCAAGAGCAGCATGCAACAGCTGAGAGCACGTGTCGAAGGAGAGGGGAGTTAACTGCCCAATTCAGTTCCTGGAGAAGCCCCCATCGTGCGGAGTGAAACGTCGGACATCGTGCCGAACAATACCGGCACGGTTGTACCATCCGACAGCACGTCGAGAGCTGCGCGGCAACGAGAGCGAAGAACGTACGCAGGAGCGCTCGGGGATACTGCCTCCCGCAGGGCGTTCTCTGACGCAGGGCGCTGGGCTGCTTTGCAAGAACACGGCAGAGCCACTTGATCTTGACGCGACGCCCACGGCAACAATTGGAAAAAAAATGCATTTGGTGGTAGGTAAAATAAAGAGGGCGCAGCCCTCGCATGAATCATGGTCCGCTGCGGCGGACTGCTTTGATCGCAGTGAAATTGCAGGGAAACATTTTAAGCACATATTTTTTAAAGGGATGCCACCTCTCCTGCTTTTCCCAGCACACCCTTGTGTAACGAGCGACTTCCGAGACACAACGTGTAGAGGGCTTCTTCTTTATTTCTGACACTTGGGCACCAACACTGGGCGACATAAAGAAACGTATCTAAGTAGCTACACACAGCCGACCTTTCTACACAGCCCAATCGTCGGCGTCTAACCACATAGCTGGCTGACTAATGTAGCGATGACGACGATGGGAGCCGTGAAGAGGATCGGCCATTGCGACCGGACGACGAAAAGAGATGACGGAGAGCGGCAATGCAGCCAGGACCCGTGACCCCGCAACAGTTCAGGGCCTTCGGTTACGTCCCCCCTATATACTTCCCGGCATGGGCAGGCCCCGCCTCCGGCCACGCCCCCTTCTAGAGCCTTCGAGCAGGCTCCCGGAGCTTCCCGACTGACCCCGCCCTTTATCTTTAAACCCAGATACGCCCCCTTCTGGTTGGTTATTATATAACGCTCCCATACCCGTGATTACCCCTCCTGGCCGACAGGTGGCACCCTGTCGCTACACTTGTGTTGAGGTATAGCTGCTATCCTGTCTTTTTAGAGACATTACAAGTCCCGTTTTTTTGTCATTTGCATAATAAGAAAGTTCGTGCAATATCATGCCCTCTTGCGGCATTGTGAGAGAATCTCCTTCCCGTAACATGTCCCGATTCTTTGTTGTACCTTCACGAGGTGGCAACCCTAATGAGGGGTTGAACAATCACTAAAACGAAACCATTTTTTTCCAGGTAAAGCCCTACTGAGCTACATGGCTCTTTTTCAGAAGCGACCTGGCCACGAATGATAGCCCAACTAAGTGGCTTATCACGTGGGAATTTACAGCGGCCAAATACTCTAAACGCAACGTTGATTCTAAATGTCCAGGGAAAAACCGGAGGATCTGGACAAAAATCCACACCATTACGGGGAGATAGACACGCAAACTCCAAATATACAGCAGGCGTCAAGAGGTCTGGATCGAACCCACGATTTCCTGTATACCAGGCGAGGCAGTTAACATCTCACCACCGTGGCGCCCAAGCGATGGGTCACTTGGCCTAGGGCAGAAACTGCATACAACGGGGAGGGCGGGCGGGGGGGGGGGGACTTGGCTCGTATCCCCCGACGCACCTGCTGGCTCAGCTTCTCAAGGAAGTACTGCTCGATGAGGTCCTGGGTGGGCATCTTGTTGGTGATGAAGTCGTTCCGCAGAGTCTGCGCCAAACGAACACAGGGCCATGGTGAATACACACGTGGCCTCGGCTAGGAACACACTTCGCATCGCGTTGGCGTACGATGATGGCAAAATACGTTTGGGGGAGGTGGTGGCTATGCACGCCTGCAAGCGCTGCGGATGTGAGGGTTGGCGGATCACGCAAATGTTGCGCAACTCCCTTCCCGTGCGCGTCGAGGTGGTACCCGTACCACGGCTTGCCAAGAGAAGGCGCTACAGCAAAACGTGGACTCCCCCCCGTTCTTTATGTATGTGATCGAGCGTTGCCCCCTCGCACGCATGGGTTTTCTCTGGGTGCTCCGTTTTCCGCCCACGTGTAGACACTGATTAATTGGCCGATAACACCTTCATATACAGAGGACCGCAGAGCTTGAGGTGACGACAGCTCATCGCCTGGGTGCCTTCCAGATCGCCTGTGGTCCCTCGTGCCTCCGAGCCATTCTGCCTCTCTCTTCGGGAGCGACCGGAGTACCGGTCAAGTAATCCAGCAAGGTTGACAAAACGGTGTGTGCATGCGCGCGTTTACACACACATCTCATCGCATCGATTTTATCGGTTGCTCGTGTTGCCTGCCGATTGGCTAATAATTCTCGCTCAGTGGTGCCGGGATGAGGGGTGATGCGGCCGGGCGACGGGGGAAGGGGATCGCGGCGTTCTTTGTGAAGGAGTGGCTGCACGCCCGCCGCTCACCTTGTACTCCTCATTGTAGACGACGGTCATGGGCAGGCCTTGACCCTCCGCGTGGAAAAAAGCCACAAGAACCTAGCACACAAAGCACCTTGTTTTTTTATTTTCTCAAAGGTCAGGGTGAACGCAAACCCGCTGGCGTAGATGTTGCCGTTCCCCACCACAGATTTACCCCAACCGTGGTATTGGCGTCATCTCACGAGACTGTTAAGCATTCAATCAATGAATTTAAATATTTTGCTTGAAAAATCCGTGGACATCGAACATCCTAAGCTGCCACCACGGACGCGTGCATTCTGACCTGGAGCGTATATTCTGAACTGGAGCGTGTATTTTGAACTGGAGCGTATATTCTGACATGGAGTGTGTACTCTGACCTGCAGCGTATAATCTGACCTGGAGCGTGTAATCGAAGCGGCTGTAGAACTCGGTGGTGTGTGGCTGATCCGCAGCCACCACGTCGACGATGATGCCGAGTATGACCTTCCACAGAGCCTGTAGCATCCTTGGCAGCACAACGCCCGCACAGGCAACGCATCCTTCAGCTTCCCTTGTTTGGCTATGAAATTTCCCCCCACCCCTCCCTCTTCCCTCCCCACCACCCCCTCCCCGATCCAGTTCCTCCCCAATAATAATTGTCAATTGTACAGGGTGGTCCAGATGTCTTGTGACCCCCCCCCCCATTTCATTCTCTAAAACGTCATATTTTAGCGTGTGGAAACCAAAATAAACAAGCAAAGGGAAAAAAATGAGGGGGCAATTGATTGGCGGTTACAAGACACCTGGACCACCCTGGACTTCGCCACAGCATCGCATATCCGACCGTCACATATTCACCCTGGCCAATTCATAACCCGCAACCGGTGTATCATTTGTCGCAATGTCAAACGAACGTCCACGAAAAGCACTTTTTTTGCGAAAGCCGGTAAAAAGTGCACTCACCAGTTGAAGTTTTCCTTGAGCAGGGTTCTATTGAGCATGGCCAAGTTGTTATCCAAGTACTTCATGAGAGGCGAGACGGCCTGGGGTGGATAAGCACACTCCTGGCCAGCAGCTCAAAGCAAATTCACTGCCGCGCTGAAGCTCCCGGCCAAGGCGGCGGGGGTTTCGAGCGAAACGCCGCACACCGCGACACAGCCCCGAACACGCGCGCCCCGAAGAGCTGACACCAACACCGAGATAGAGCTGCGTGACCTCCCGCACTCAACCGTCAACGCCGGCGCGCGCCGCCAGAATCCCCCCACGGTCGCCCAGCAACGCAATTATCCACTGGACAAAAGTGCAACCACCGCCACCGTTCTGACGTATGGCCGGATAAATGCTTGCCGGACGGCTTGGATGAGGTGGGAAGTACCCACACTTTGTCCCCCCCCCCCCGCCACATTCGACCCCGGCCGATCGACTGACTGACTGTGGTGAGCCCATTCGTACCGCTGGGTGCGTAGAGGCGAGGTGGGGGGGGGGGGGGGGTGAGTATTCAAGAAACCCGCGGCAATTGTTTCGACTGCTGCGTTGGGGAGATTGAATTGGACCGAAAAAACGGTGGATTGAAACCACTGCTGCACCACGGCATCATCCCCATCAGCCCATCCGCTGTACGCGTGCTATTAAAGATGACGTGGCATCGTTTTCAAGAGGAGATGATTGTGTGCTGTGCGTTGGGGACCAACGTTTTCAATTATTCACAATGGCCTAATTCTGCAGTATGAATGCGTTCCCTGTCCAAGTAAGAGATGTGCTATCTCTGAATCTATTCGGCAGAGGTAACAGTTTCATTTGTTGTCCTTCCCCCGCACCTCCGATTATCACGGTTGGCTACGTACGGTGCGAAAGAAGTTCAACGTACGTATACGCACATACGTACGGAGCGAGCAGTGCCCAACTGGAAGGTTACAAGCACAAATCCTGGTCGATGGTTGACTCGGCCTATCATCCCATGACCAGGAGACAAGCACCAATGTGTCACTCAGTGTCTCATTCCAGCAAGGAAATCGCCGAGACTTTTGTTGTTATCGATTGCTGTTGTCTGTTTGGTGTGTGGATGTACCATGGAGATTATAGTTGCCACCTGGACTCAATCTTGGTCAAGCAGGTCACACGGCAGCGATGCTAACCATGCAAAGCAAGCGGCTTTGCATGGTTAGCATCGCTGCCGTTACAGTAATTGATTAATGGAGTTCAAAACATTTCAGTTTTGGAAAACGTGGGAAATAATCACATGGTTCCGCACAAGTCCAAACACAACATCTTAATGCAATACAAATTGTCGCGAGGTACGCCAAGCGCTTGAGTAATGTATTGAGCATTAACTACGGCGTGACATTTTGTTATTGTTAAAAGCACACGCAGACTCACGCTTTCATTATATATCCAATTTATTTTAATTGTAGCAACTCATAGCTTGAAAGCACTTATTCCATCATCCCATTACTGTACGCGGAGAGGGGGCTTCAAAGTCACCCCACTCTCAGGTCGGTGTAATCGTTCACAATCAGAATATTTATTGAGACTGCGTTCATTTAAAACGACAACATTCGGCGTTGATATTTGCGCAAAGTTTTTGTGGTCGTGCTCTATGTGTGTCGCTCTCTGGTGCGCTTTCTTTCCGGCTGTGCTGTGCGCAGCCGTTCTGGTTTGATGTCCGACGTGAGCTGGGTGATCCTGTTCAGTACTGAAGAAGCTACCGGCGCTCGGAGATAAAAACGTCGGACATCGTTTCGAGCAACGCTCCCGTCCAGTACTGAAGTACTGAAGAACAGCGCGTGGAGTGGAAACGTCGGACATCGTGTCGAACAATGCTCCTGCTCAGTATTGCAGAAGAGCAGGAGGAGCGAAACGTCGGGCACTTAAAAACGAAACTATTTCTATTTTTTTATTAAAAGCTTCCATTACTGCAGGGATTCATATTCTTGGTTCTTTCGGTAAAGTCACGTAAGACCCAAGAATATTTCCATTTTATCAGGTAAGTCCCACTGAAACGTCGTGAGAATATTATTGTGTTATTTTATTTTATCAATTTATTATTTTATTCTCATTCTACGCGACTTTACCGAAAGAACCAAAGAAGAAGTCCCACTCAGCTCTATATCTCTTGTTGCAGAAGTGACCTGGCCGCAAATGATAGCTCAACGAAGTGGTTTATCATCACGTGGAAATGCATAGCGGCCAAATACTCTAAACGCGTGACGTCGATTCTAAATGCGGAGGGAAAAACCAGAGGACCCGGAGAAAAATGCACACGCGACCACGGGGAGAAAAACATGCAAACCCCAAATATACAACAAGCGTCAGGGTTCGGGATCGACCTCCTGTATACGCGGAGAGGTAAGAAACATCTAACCACAATGGCGACCCCTACACCGCGCCAAACACCCCACGGTGTGACCCGAGAGCACGTCGGAGAGCACGCGCGGTCTCATCGCACTCTCGCAACACGTAAACCGTCGACCAGAGGATGAATGTTGTTACAGGCGCACCAGATGTTTGGTTTGTCATGGCCCGTGGGGGGGGGGGGGTGTGGCTAAGATGCGGGGTTCAGAATTAGCGGGGTGTCACGCGTGTGCCGCATTGGGGCCAGCGAGAAGCGCGAGGTACGACATGGGGAAACTCACTTCGTCCGACTGGATGGAGTCCGGAGACAAGCTGATGTGCTGAACATACTTGCGAATGTCCGGGGACATCTGCGGATAAATGCAAACGGCGACGTGACGATCCTACTGTGCACCTGCTCAAGGACCAATATCATCACCCCATCTCCGCTCCATACGTCCTCACGGACGTGTTGCGTTCATTTGCTGCCACTGCTCCGATTAGTACGGCTGGCTACGTACGGTACGAAAGAAGTTGGACGTACATACACGCATACTCCCGTCATTATCCTTGACCATCGGCCATGATACATCCTGCAGAAGGACCGCTCACTTAGATTGAATCACATCCATCATTTGCGTGTGTCCACTTATCAACGAGTTCCTCTCTCTGTCTCTCGGCGTAATTCCGAGAACGCAGCTCTCCACGCCCCGACCGGTCTTCCCCGAAGCTCTTCGTCGTCCGCAAACTCAATCAAGTTGGAGAGAGGCGGAGGGAGACGGGACAACAGAACACGGCACGGAAACGGTCAAATCGGCGCTCACCTTTTCAGCGAAGATGGTGACCACGGCGGTGATCTCGTGCTGCACGGCGCTGTCCAGGGCGTGCAGCTGCGCCAGCGGGGCCCCCGCCGTGCCCCCCCCCGCGGCCCCCCCCCACCGGGAGCCCCCCACCGACCGCGGGCGCGCCCGCCGCCTCGGCGTCGGTCAGCCCCAGCTCCTTGGGCAGCGCGCACACGAACTGCCGCACGTACTCCATCCCGTTGAGGGCTACGCACAGCTGCGCGAGTGGGGGGGGGGGGGGGCGGGGGGGGGTGCACACGGCAGCGGTGACTCGCGGAGCTGACGGCCAACCTCGCCGACATTGAAACTGAAACTAGGGGGGCAAGTCATGGCAGTGCGCGGACTTTTGAAATGCTCCCCAAAGCGCGTTTGTCCTCGGAAGCGTTCGATTAGGAGCGCTGCGCTCGTATCCTTTTGGCGCTAGTGTTTGTTTTGTTATCGCAAAGCTTGAGAGTATAGTTGCGTTGCTATCAGTGACCTATACTATATAAAACCGGCCACCATCATCGCAACCATCACCACCATCATTTCCCGTACCTCCAAATAGCACGGTTGGCTACATACGGTGCAAAAGAGGTTCAACATACATACACACAACCATTTCATCAATCTGGCCGGTTTTCCATAGGATAGGTCCCCGATTAGCAACACAACTATATACTTACAGTTATCGTGCCCCCCTGTTACATACAGACAGACAGAGCTATTGCGCAAGAGCTCAGCAGCATGCGACCCAATGGACCCCGCGCATCAGAGTACCTGGTTGCTGACGTCGAACTGCCCGTCGGCCCTGTAGTAGCCTCCCGCCTCCACCTTGCGCTTGACGAGCTCCATGTAGAAGTGGGCGCAGTTGCAGAAGTTCTGTGCAGCCAGACATGGTGGAGGTCAATTCAAATCAGGGCCTTGCAAGCTATAGCTGGACTCTCCGATTACGCCATTAAGCAGATGACTCTCTCCAATTATTTCAGGAATCGATGACTTTACCGGTCATCGGTTCGAGTACTCAACTAAACTGATAACTAAGACAACAGTTGGGCGGAAGAGTCTTTCCTTTGTTCCCAGTTTGTGCCGCTGGATGGGAGGTGATGGAGCGGGGCTTGGCAATGTCATCGGCATTGCCAGCCGCGCCACGCTGGGCATGTCTTGTAGGGACGGTTCCCATTTTCACGGCTCATGGTTCATGGCTGATGATGGTGCTCAACCTTACTATAATACCTTGCCGATCTCGTCAAGGAGGATAAAACATCACGAAAACTCCGGTCGTCCTTGCAGCAGCGGCTTCTGGCTCGCCATCAAACAAAGACGGTGGTCACCGCATCGCGCGCTTTCAGATGCGCTTCTGCGGCCGTCTGGAACGCTCTTCCTTCCGACATTAGGAAGCCACTGCAGCTATGCACATTTAAATCTAAATTGAAAACCAATTTCTTTGGAAGCGCTTTTTGTGTTTAGTTTGTTGTATTTTCCCCGCATCTCCGATTAGCACGGTTGGCTACGTTATGGTGCAAAAGAAGTGCAACTTAGATACGTGCATGCGTACTCCGGGTGCGTGTGGAATGCCGGTGGTGCTGCCGAGAGCTGGGACGCTCACCTGCATGAGCTTGCTGAGGATGGGGGTGGCCGAAGCAGGGGGCCACTGAAGACCCTTCCACAGGTCCCGGATGTGGGACAGACATTCCGTGGTGCTCAGTGCCGACGAACTGTACTTCACCTGGGCGTTCAGGAAGTCCAGCTGTGTAACACACGCACAGAGACAATGGTCCCCCACCCCCGTGTAGCCTTTAAAAGACTCTCGAGGTGAGTGCGGTTTGCTAGAAACCCATCAAGGCCGGCACGGCGCACAAAGGAGGGGGGGGGGGTGTGTGGCCAACACCACGCCCGGCCGCCTTTGTCTCCCCGGTGCTGATTGTTTACACACCGCATCGGTATTCATTTGAGACCGAGTTGACCTAGGGGAGGCCCGGAACCGGTTCGGATATTCGTCACCGATGCTGGCCGTGAGCAGGAATTAAACTCGAGTCGCCAGGCTCGTAGTGCATTGTGCTAACCGTTGCACTACCGCTCCCCACTATATATGACAAACAGAAACACTCGAGGAATCCGATGAGCTATAATGCTTTTTTTCACAGATTCCAGGAGTTTTCACAGATGTCCAGTACACATAACATGTGCACACACACACAGGTGAACTCCTAACTTTGCCAATGAGCAATAATCCACCTTGGAATTTCTGAACTCCAACTGCATGACACAACAAGGCTAAAGATCCCCCATATAGCCTTAACAGACTCTAGAAGCAAGTGCTGCTAGCGTGCGCCGATGAAGGCCTACACGACACAGACACACACAGAGACACATGCACACATGCAGGTGGACTCCTGACATCCGCACACAGTAGCTCTCTCCGATGCATGTTGAATCGTCGCACAGTTCAACGTTTCTCTCCCTGTGCCGGGCGCTTCCTCGGGAAATGAATTCGGTTCCGGAAGGAGGAGCTCGCGTCACAGCGTGCCCTCCCCGAAGAAGCGCGGCACGACCTGGAAACGCGCCGGGAGAGGGCCGTACAGCGGCGCAACCACAAAAACCCGAAGAGCAGACGTCTTCAAGGAGCGTGACATCTCGGGGACGCTGATCTGGCACGAGCGGAATCGGTATGCGGCAACGACGGCGATGGCGACGACGTATGGACCATGCGTCACGAGTGAAGTGACGGCAGAAGCACCCTTAACGTAAAGAAAGCGGCACTTGGGCAAATAAATCAAGCAAACAAATGGCAGGGAATGAGCTCATGCATCAAGCGCTCCGTTTAGGAGAAAGCCGGCGCCGAGGAAAGTGGCACTGCCGGCGCGATTTACCTTGAAGCGCGACACCTTCTGACGTCGGCGCGTTACAGGCGAGAAAAGGCGCGGAAAAGGAAGGAGAAACGAGCAAAGCACATTTAGCGGAAGAACTCCGCAGGAAAAAAAATTCACAGCGGTCAGGGATGCTGCGATATCGCTGTTCGTGATACGTTATGATATCGAAATACACGGTAGGACGATTATCGCGATATTACTTCCCCCCCCCACCCACAACTCTACAATTGCATTTCACATTTTATTGTTTGGGATTTGTGCTATACGATTATTTAAACGTTCTTTGGCTGCACTTCACTCAACTTACAGTGAGGGAAAAAAGTATTTGATCCCCTGCTGATTTTGTACGTTTGCCCATTGACAAAGAAATGATCAGTCTATAATTTTAATGGTAGGTTTATTTGAACAGTGAGAGACAATAACAACAAAATCCAGAAAAACGCATGTCAAAAATGTTATAAATTTATTTGCATTTTAATGAGGAAAATAAGTATTTGACCCCCTCTCAATCAGAAAGATTTCTGGCTCCCAGGTGTCTTTTATACAGGCAACGAGCTGAGATTAGGAGCACACTCTTAAAGGGAGTGCTCCTAATCTCAGCTTGTTACCTGTATAAAAGACACCTGTCCACAGAAGCAATCAATCAATCAGATTCCAAACTCTCCACCATGGCCAAAACCAAAAAGCTCTCCAACGATGTCAGGGACAAGATTGTAGACCTACACAAGGCTGGAATGGGCTACAAGACAATTGCCAAACAGCTTGGTGAGAAGGTGACAACAGTTGGTGCGATTATTCGCAAATGGAAGAAACACAAAAGAACTGTCAATCTCCCTCGGCCTGGGGCTCCATGCAAGATCTTACCTCGTGGAGTTGCAATGATCATGAGAACGGTGAGGAATCAGCCCAGAACTACACGGGAGGATCTTGTTAATAATCTCAAGGCAGCTGGGACCATAGTCACCAAGACAACAATTGGTAACACACTATTCCGTGAAGGACTGAAATTCTGCAGCGCCCACAAGGTTCCCCTGCTCAAAAAAGCACATATACATGCCCGTCTGAATTTTGCCAATGAACATCTGAATGAGTCAGAGGACAACTGGGTGAAAGTGTTGTGGTCAGATGAGACCAAAATGGAGCTCTTTGGCATCAACTCAACTCGCCGTGTTTGGAGGAGGAGGAATGCTGCCTATGACCCCAAGAACACCATCCCCACCGTCAAACATGGAGGTGGAAACATTATGCTTTGGGGGTGTTTTTTCTGCTAAGGGGACAGGACAACTTCACCGCATCAAAGGGACGATGGACGGGGCCATGTACCGTCAAATCTTGGGTGAGAACCTCCTTCCCTCAGCCAGGGCATTGACAATGGGTCGTGGATGGGTATTCCAGCATGACAATGAGCCAAAACACACGGCCAAGGCAACAAAGGAGTGGCTCAAGAAGAAGCACATTAAGGTCCTGGCGTGGCCTAGCCAGTCTCCAGACCTTAATCCCATAGAAAATCTGTGGAGGGAGCTGAAGGTTCGAGTTGTCAAACGTCAGCCTCAAAACCTTAATGACTTGGAGAAGATCTGCAAAGAGGAGTGGGACAAAATCCCTCCTGACATGTGTGCAAACCTGGTAACCAACTACAAGAAACGTCTGACCTCTGTGATTGCCAACAAGGGTTTTGCCACCAAGTACTAAGTCATGTTTTGCAGAGGGGTCAAATACTTATTTCCCTCATTAAAATGCAAATCAATTTATAACATTTTTGACGTGCGTTTTTCTGGATTTTTTGTTGTTGTTGTTGTTATTCTGTCTCTCACTGTTCAAATAAACCTACCATTAAAATTATAGACTGATCATTTTTTTGTCAGTGGGCAAACGTACAAAATCAGCAGGGGATCAAATACTTTTTTCCCTCACTGTAAGTGTGCGATCAATCTGCAACGCTCAAGCTTTCAGCTTCACAAACACAACGAATAAACTCGGTGATCTGCGAAAATGATGAATTCATATAAATGCCGTGCCGTTAATCGTTTTAATACATTATCACTAAACACTCATTTAATGGAACATACTGTAATTATTTAATTACAACATTAATTATCGTGTCATTTCTTAAAAGGTTTTTTTTTTCTTCCTGAAAATAAAATATTTAAGTAAAGAAAATTAATAGCGCCCATTCGCGACATGACGGTATTGTGCGAAATGGACGATACAGTTATCTTGGTTCAATTGTCATACAATACATCACGACGATCATGGCAACGATCGTCCAAGTGCCGCCCTTCTACGGTCCACCATAGCTTGAGAGAGACTGGCTGCCAACAGCGCCTTGGCTTGAATTATCGTTGGGTCACTGAATTGGTGAGGCGCTGGTTACCACGCTACATGGGGCCTGGAGGCGAGGGTTGCTGCATCACGCAAATTCGTGATGTGTCCTACCTTGCTGTTAATGCCACACTAGGACAGTACAGCAAGTGGATTCATTTCCAGTTGTACGGGGATCGAGCGTTACGCCCATCGCAATCATCGTGTCCTGGGCCTGGGCCCATGGAACTCGCTGCACGAGAACAAGATCTCCGTTTATCTCGAGGGGTCACGGCCACTGCGGTTATTAATTTTAAATTGCATTCTAATTAGGGAACTGTGCTTACCATTGTATCGGAAGGAGTGCACACATTAAAGTGTATGAATGGAGGCACTCATTTACATATAAATGGGCATGTAATTTGTAACCTGGCTAACGCCTGATTTGCATGCACTTTGTTCCATTGCACACAAGTGCAACGATATTGGCCAGTAAAGAAACCTGAGGAGAAAGACATTTGGTTTTCAAGAAACCCAACCATCAAATGTCCTGGAGGCAACAGGTGCATTCGTTCCTTCTACAACGTTCCCCTTGTGTGCTCAGCAATTCTGGGTTTTGCAGGTCACCAGATACTCGATCATAGCAATATAAATAATCAAATACCAGACCATAGCCATGCAGGTAAACCAGATACCAGATCACAGCAATGTAGATAACCAGATACCAGATCATAGCCATGCAGGTAAACCAGATACCAGATCACAGCAATGCAGATAACCAGATACCAGTTCACAGCAATGTAGATAACCAGATACCAGATCACAGCAATGTAGATAACCAGATACCAGATCACAGCAATGTAGATAACCAGATCATAGCAATATAGATAATCAGATACCAGATCATAGCAATGTAGATAATCAGATACCAGATCATAGCAATATAGATAATCAGATACCAGATCATAGCCATGCAGGTAAACCAGATACCAGATCACAGCAATGTAGATAACCAGATACCAGATCACAGCAATGTAGATAACCAGATACCAGATCACAGCAATGTAGATAACTAGATACCAGATCACAGCAATGTAGATAACCAGATACTAGATCATAGCAATGCAAATACAGATCATAACAATGCGGGTAACCCAATACCAGATCATACCAATGCAGGTAACTCGATACCATAGCAATGCATATACAGATCATAGCCATGCGGGCAATCCGATACCAGATCATGGCAATGTAGGTAACCCAATACCATAGTGATGCATAACCATATAGCAAGGCGGGTAATCCGGAACCAGATCATTGCAGTGCGGGTTCACAGTAACGTGAGCATCGCCCAAGAAGCAGACGTACCCCGTCCGCCTTGACGGACTCGCTGATCCTCTCCTTGGCCTTCTGGTGAACCAGCTGCAGCCAACGCAGCATGAGGACCTTGAACCAGCCGTGGAACGAAGCCAGCGCCAGCGGCTTCCCGTCCCTGGCGGAAGCGGCACAGGAGTCAAATGCCAGCGATGTCACATGACGGCGCGTTTGGGCCAAGTGTCACTTTCAAAACTTAGGTCGAACTCAAAAAATCCAATTACGAATGTTTTATTTGATCGACAACGCGAGTATCGGTCGGAAGGACGCCGACTGGAGGGCACGATCCAGAGTCATCATTGTGAAGATGAACTGAGCTGGGAACGCGACGGCCTACTTTCTCTGATCGCTGGCAAATCCACGCATGGATTTCCCCCCCCCCCCCCCCCAATATACAGGGTGATCCAGTTATAGATGCCCCGCTGATTTCTGATGGCCTTCTTAGTTCCTTCTCAATGGTTGAGCGATTACATCGTGACTGCTGTGGCCATATATCTGGCGCACGACGAGCATGCTGGAGCACTTAACGGGCGTCGCGAGGATTGGTGGGAGACGTGTGGAGACTTTGAAATAAACTGCCGTTTCCTCTGTAATTTCTCGCTTTCATTTTCGCGGAGTACCCGCCGCGTCTATCAGTGGGATGAGATTTAAGGCGTCGCTCACTCGACCGCTGGACCACCTGATCGGATCGCCCGGTAATGAATTACCCGCAAACCACACAGCTGCACACAGCCGTACAATATTAATATCCTCTTGTCAACTGCTACCCCTATTTCCTGGCGATTTCAAAGAGCGCACACAATGACGCAGGTGCGATAATTAATTGCACAATTTTCTTATTTAATTTGACATCCTATCCCGCGCGGCAGTCGGCGGGTATTACGTACGGATCTATTACGATACAGCCTCCAACGTGGCTATCAATTATCAGTTAATTTTATACCGTTAAAAGAAACAACATAGTGCAGCCTATTGATCATCTCAGAATTGCCTGGTTCTTTGTGGGTGTGCGGCGGCATTGTTGGAGTTATCGCGGGAGAGTTTGGCGCCCCGAGGTCTCTATCTTGGGCGTACGTACGGCATCCTCAGCCATCTCAAATGTCATCTCAAGACCTCCTCCTCCACACTCGTACGTTTAAAACAATAAAAATCCCATTTACTTATATTGATATTCCTCCTTATCTGCAAGTTTACTTTACCCCCCTGCCCTCCCTCCATCAAAATCACGTTTGATTACTTTTTAAATTAAAGTTCTTATTCAAGTCGAACATATATATAAAAATGCTCTTGGCTACTTTGCTGAATTTGAATCTCTGATATTTGACATCTGCTATCACTACGGTTTCACGATTTTATTTGAAAGACCTCTGAAAAAGTGCTTGGTCTAATCACACACTTCTACTTTAGAGACGAGTTCATACTGCCAACTTTATTCTTTTCAAGAATAAGTTCTTTATCTGTATATAAAAAATATACAGAATTAGAATGGTTGAAATGCAATACTGTTGCAATGTGATGAATCCTAGAGGTAACTTGATAATCAAGGCTATAATAGCATCACTTTGTGCACTGCAACTCATTATGGGCCAAAATTAAAATACTTTTGTACATTTTTACTTTGAATAAGCTTTACAATTCAAATGTGTCACGTTTAAAAACGAGAAGTGAAATTCAAGGATACACAGTTACAGCCTTGGACACTTAAATGCCACAGTCAGTCAAGGTTGGCTTGAAATTGTAATTCTACAAATGGGATCAGGATCTCAATCATTCCAATGCCCAGCTGTAGATTTCGTCAAGGGACCCCCCCCCCCTCACCCCGATGGCAGCTGTCCCTGTGTAGCACAAAGTGAAGGCAGCACCAGCCTACGAGTGGGCCGTTAGTCTCGCAGTATTGGCCGATGTTGCCATTTGTTTTCCACGGTGGTGAGGGTGCCACGATGGCTAGGCGATGTTAACTACCTCGCCCGGTATACAGGAGGTCGTGGGTTCGATCCTGACCCTGACGCCCATCTATTTGGAGTTTGCGCGTTCTCCCCGTGGTCACGTGGATTTTCCTCCAGGTCTTCCGGTTTTTCCCTCCACATTTAGATACACGCATTTACAGTACTTGGCTGCTGTAAATCACCACATGATAAGCCACTTCGTTCAGCTTCTGAAAAAGAGCTACATAGCTCAGTGGGCCTTACCTGGTAAGATAAAAAAAAGTTTAGTTTTAGTGTTGGGCAATGTTGCAATTTGTTTTCCCAATTAAATTATATATATGAACAATAACCGAATTGAATAGCGGTGGGGTGTTTGGCATCATGCTTGAGTGATGGTGAAACAGTAGAGGAACAGAAATTACAAATATACAAAGATATCCCCCCGCCACCCCCCCCCCGCCCCGAAAAAAACACTATACCAGCCCTGGGCCCCCATCAAGCGTCATCGCACCTCCGGTTAGCGCGGCTGGCTACGTTTGGTGCGAGAGAAGTTCAACATATGCACACACGCACGCACGGGGCCGCGGCTGCACGCACGCACCTGGCGGGTAGCGAGTCACTAAGGCCGTGCAGCTCGCGCAAGTTCAGGTAGAGCTGCAGCATGGCCTCCCCAGAGGGCTGGCTCAGCGCCCCCACGTCTCCCTCCGAGCTGCCGCCCGGCTCCTCCAGGCAGCTGCTCACCTCGTCCGATATCTGTTTGGGGGGGGGGGGGCGGGGGGGTTGCGGCGAGTGAACACCGATCTCACGATGCCGGCGCATCGTCGCTAAAAAAAGGGGCAATCGGGTCTTCTGCACGTAAATTAAACCACGTTAGAGATTTGATTGGCTAACCTTTCCTATAATTTGCACTCCCGTCGTGTATTTTGTATCGTTTGTTGTTGTAACGTTCTGACCCCGTGCCCCCTGCCAGAGATCTGTGAAAAATATCTTTGTAGCTCGTCGGATTCCTCCAGTACGAATAAAGATGTTGATTCTGAAAATATGAATGATCGGCAACGTCTCGAACAGTGGCCCTTCTTCATAGCTGACACTTGTCAATTTCCACCAAATCGCTTTGTTTTTAAAACTTTTATTTCATTAGTACTGCAATAACGAAAGTAAATGACTTTGGGGCATCGGGCATGGGTGGTTATTAAACACCTCCACCCAATGCCCTTTTTCACAGTTACACAAAAGGCGGCAGCATCAATGGTATTGGTCACAAGGAACTTGGCTTTCAGTGAATACCAAATGTCTTGCTCCAACGGGATGCCCTGTACTGAAGGCTCGGGCCTAGGTGTGTATATTCAGATGTAGTGTTGGTGCTGGCCCATTGGGGGGGCCTAAACAGACTTTTTGGGGGGGGGGGGAGAGGGACCTTTTGTATGCATGTTGAACTTCTTTTACACCGTGCATAGCCAAACGTGCTAATCGGAGGTGCGGGTGAAGGACAACCCCTCTAGTGAGACGACAGAAGGTATACATATTAGAGAGAGAGACGAGACATGAATGTAGGGCGATGAGAGATGTGGACAAAACATATGGGGTTTGAAAAGAGAAGAGAGCTAAGGGCAAGCAAGATAGATATGGCAGGGATTATTAGCCCTGTAATTTAATTGGACATTCACGTTCATTAGGATTTGACCGAGTTGATATTTTGTTCACCCCTAGTTGTGTTTTTTTTATTATTGAAACCGGGGCCCCCTTGAGTTACTCGGGTCCCTAAGCTTGTGCTCGGTTTGTTTGTGCCGAGCGCCACGAGATCTGCCAGTGGAATCAGAGGGGGGACATTGTCTCCGCTTAAGGGCGATGGGTGACGATGCTATCGTATTGTGGGTGAATCACAGAGCTTATTTATTTGTGTCTCGTGTGATTAATTAAAACTATTTCATAGACCAAGGATGCCTGAACAATCCTTTGTTGTCAGGATTCTATGAATTCGATTTTCTTTGTCTCGTGAATGCATTCAAGGACAATCCCCCTCACACTGTATTAGACTGCACAAGACAAACATTCCCCCGTGTAGCCTGTAACAGACTGTTGGGGCAAGTGTTATTCATGAGTATCCCCTTTGAAGGCTGGCACGGCACACGAGGGGGTGGGGTGGCCAGCACCACGCCCGACCGCCTTTGTCTCCCTAGTGGCGATGTTTACTACACACTGCACCAGGTACTCATTTGAGGCTGAGTCGACCTAAGGGAGGCACCAGGACCAGTTCAGATGATTGTCGCTGGCATTCGCCGTGAGCAGCAATCGAACTCGCTTGGTTCGTAGCTCCGAATTAGATTTTTTTTTGTCTCGTGAATGCATTCAACGTAGAAATAACGTTAGATGCACCTCCAATTAGCACGGTCGGCTACGTACGGTGCGAAAGAAGTTCAACATACATACAGACATACAGACTGCACACACGCACGCAAGCACGCAATTACCAGTTTCTCCAACTGTCGGTAGGTGACACTGAAGTACTCGACCTTGACGGCACTGAAAGAAAAGGAATTGTCATGCAGACGTCAGGAAGGCATTCGGAGAAAATAAAATCATCTCCCCCTTTCTGGATTCAAGGTGAAACCTCGCTATAGATTAACCCTGCAGCGTGACCTTGTTTAAAGTCATGCTGCGGGGGGGGGGTACAAAAACACAGGGGGTGTGGCGGGGGGGGGGTCAAAGATATGACCAATGTTAAACTTCAAACAGACGTTAAACGGAACGGGTAACGATGAGATCTTCCTATGTCTACCGCGCATCCTGCTCTGCCTTTCATCCCCTGCGTGCTTGCTGAAAGACTGAGAAGCCCATCGCTAAAGAACTACAATATATATTTTTTTAATTTTGTCTTTCCCCCCCTCCCTCTGACAGCTTGTAATGCACAGTTACATGCACGTGCAGGCGAGCCTGCAGGTGTAGTGCCTGTAATGGCGATTCACGCGTTTATATCGAACAGTTCGTACGCCAAGTGCCTTGACTCCCCCGGTGCCAAGGGTCTGCTTTGTGTTCACAAATTAAGGGAGTGGTGATGGATGTTAATGCGCCCGTGGGATACCTGGCGAACATCTTGTTGTAGTGGTCTCTGTTTTTGTAGAGGTCGGAGAGCACCGCGTTCGTTATTTTAACCAGGCCCTGAAGTTTCTCTTCTTCACTCTGCCAGGTGGACAAGGAGCGGCAACGGTGACTCGCAAGACATTTTGAAGAGTCGAACACAAAAAGCACACACACACACACACACCCGTCGCTGACACCGCCCCACAGCACGAATCTACGTGAGGCCCGCGAACTGTCTGGAGCGTCGACGCGGGAGAGCGGGAGCGCGTTTGCCGTCCGCTGCCGACGTTTGGCCTACTCCTCCACGCCAGCTCGACGACTTGGTAGAGGTGGGATTGCCCGCAACGTTACCCCCGCCACACGCGGACCTGCCGATCACTGTTCCACCTGAAGACGGAAGCTTGTGGTGTTGCCTCCGAAACGTCGTGATTTAAGTTAGTTGTTTTCATTAATTTTATTTTACCGGCGTGACTTTACCGAAAAAAAAACAAAGAGAATGTATACATTATTATCAGAGCATGCTTATTTGCGTGTTTTTCCACAAATACGTGTGGTTAATGCAGGCTTCATTTCTTGCGGAAAGGTATCCATTTGGAGTTTCAACTGTTTAACACCTGTTTTATTGCCAGACAAGGTATAACCTATTCTTATTTTTTCATAAAATCAGTATTACGTTCTGATGAGCTGATTCACAAGAGTGCTTCAGGGTTCAGGTTGCATAACAACCTGGCCAGATTCGTGCCGTTACGACCTTCAACCACCCGTAGCATCCTAACAAATTGTTAATTTGCGCAAGCGTGTGACAAGCAAACTTACTACGGTTTCAGCCCACGAGAATTATTCTCACAATTTTAGCCGTATCATTACGTGGCCTAACCAAACAAAGAAAGTACGATCACAATATTGGCTGCGGAAATCGACGTGTTTTGGTAAAATTCTCGATCTCTGGGTACCACTGCAAACGTCCGTCTGGGATATCTGCCCTTCCCCATTGTGCACACTCGCCCCAGGCATCACATTACATCCACAGGACATTCCTGCCACATTCCATTACGAACTTCCAAGTTGCTTTACCCCATCGCTCCATGAAATTCCGAGCGCACTCCGCATGTTCCTGCTTTCAAAAGCCGCAGTTTATTTCCCAGTTATGCCGCTAAATTCAAACTCCTCTTGGTCACACGGACAAATACTCAAGCGTCAAACATTCAGGTACATCCAGGTACCTTCCCGCCCGCCTTGAACGTAGAGTTCATCTGCTCGTACCACTCCTGCGTCCCTTTCTAAAACACAAAACGACAACAAGCGAGGAGGAAGGAGAAATCACATCTACCCATGGATTTTGTAAACATTTCTAACATACATTGGCCCTCAGAAGTCTTTACTTATAAAGTTAGTCATGAATATGGAAGCCGACGGATAGCTGTCAGCGAAAAATGCATTCGCATATATGTAAAAAATAAAACATTGAGTGCCCTTTATTTGTAAAAAAAAAAAACTTTTCGTGTTGATTTTTTTAAAATAGTTTTGGGCAAGAGACGTGTACATTTACAGTCCTTTGTTGTCAATCTACTGCTGGATGAGGGCACCCCCCTGCTGTGCGGGCCATGGTTGGCGGGGGGGGGGGTGTTATTTGGTGGTGGGTGGGGAGAGGGGGGCGCGGTGGGGGGGGGGGGGACAGGACTAGTTCAGATACCACTCGCCACTGATTAATCGAATTCGGGCCAGCGGCCGCACGGGGCAATGCGTTAACCACCTGCGCCACCGGTGCCGCTACGCAGCACTGTGCTTGGCTGCGCGATGGTGAGTGGCCCTCCTCACCTTGATGACGCTATTTATCTCCAGGTAGAGGTCGTTGTGGAAGGGACACGCCTTCTTGAACACCTGCGTGCCGTAGAACTCCGACAAACACCTTCGCAGGGAGGCACAACACGTTGCAAAGGAACTGTCAGCTCCGACATCGTAAAACAATGATGTTTACGTAAACATTCATATATTTCCAGTATACATGCTGTGCATATATATGCATGTGCCATTTTGTCTATAAACCTTTTACCCATGGCACACCAGGGGAAGGGAAGTAGAGTCAAGGATATGATGAATGGAAACATAAAAAGGAATAGGAAAGGGAAGAGAGGAGAAAATAATAGGAAATGCGAGGAAGGGGTTGGAATAGAAACTGAAAAATAGGACCAAAGGGTCAGGAAAGCTGAACAAAGATTAGGATAGGGAGGGAGCAGTGTGTGTTTTCACATGGGGCAGGGAAAGGGGAGGGATTCAGAGTGGGGGTGGCCACACAGAGGTCACATGACTTAGGGGAGGCTTGAGCTCATTATGATATAGATATGTACTGCATATACCTCTGCCTTCAGCCAAATTTATTTACCTTTTACACAAGTTTTTCCATTGCCTCTATCTAATTTTTTTGTGGCATTAAATCACCGTAAAATGTAGTCGACATTTGTTACATTTTAAGTGACCACGGCCCACGTGTGTAGCCACTGCCGCAAACTTGGCCTAGAGGCTAAACAAAAAAAAATACCCGATAAATCCTACTGAGCAGATATCGCTCTTTTGCAGAAGCGACCTGGCCACACATGATAGCTCAATAAAGTGGCTTATCACGTGGAAATTTATATCAGTCAAAGACTCTGAACCCATGCAAATTCTAAATGTGGAGGGGAAAAAAATGGAGGACCCGGAGAAGAATCCACGCGACCACCAGGAGAGAGACGTGAAAACCCCAAAAAATACAGCGGGCGGCAGAATCGGGATTGAACCTGCGACCTCCTGTATACCAGGCGAGGTAGTTAACGTCTCGCCACCGTGGCGCCGGGCCACATCACCGAAAGCTTGACCACCAAGAAATGCTCCACACGCGGCCTAACCCCCCCCCCCCCCCGGGGAAGTCCGCACCCGGATCACCTCGCGCGCTCAACGCCGTCGGCCCTTACCCCAGAAGCGCCTCCAGGCGGGACGTGGCCTCGGGGTTTGTTGACGGGAACACGTCGCGGATCTTTCGCAGCAAACCCAGGCAGAACTCAAGGAAGCCGTTGAAGCTTTCGGCCAGGCTCTGCTGCTGCACCACACGCCGACCGACGTACACCGGCCATTATACGCGCGCAGCCCCCCCCGGGGACGGGGGTCTGCTCGCTGGGGCTGCCACCACCGAGGTTTAAGAGAAATTCAGGAGATTTCGCAGGAAGATGAAGATCTCGCAACTACTGGACGGTGGTATAAACCGCAGTGGTGTTTATTTTGTTTACGATTGTTCAGCACAGTGCAAAAAGGCCTAAAAATTACCAGGTGGCCAGCAACAAACAGCACTGTTAAAGTTGTATTAGATTAGAATTTAACACATTTGTTGAATTGAGCACACTTACTTTAAGAACTTGGGAAAAAGAGACGATGGGAGGAAATTGTCATGACGTGTAGCGTGGTGAGTAAATGGGCAAGTGAGTGATTGAGTGTGTGGTGTGAGTGGGTGACTGAGTGAGTGGGTGAGTGTGTTGTTGTGACCTGCATTTCGGTGGCTCAACACAATGTGGATGACATGAAACAGTCAATCTGGTAGACCGAGTTCTGAACGCAGCTGCAGGAATCAATGAGTGATATTCAGAGAAACGGTAAACGTGATAGTAGCATTAGAAGAACGATAGGGAGAACTGACCGCCGGTGAGTGAGTGACCGGAGTGAATCAATGACGGCTGGATCATCAATCAACCTGACTACTTTACGCAATTAGGAAACTGACAAAAATCGGGACTATTAATGTTCCTAGGAAGATTTACCAGTTTTCCAGGACCACCACCGCAACAAGAGGACGATCCTGGGAAAACCAGGCCAGGTGGCCACCCTTACTCCTCACGCCTACCCCCCTCCCACCCACTTCCAGGTGATTTCGTTCCGCCATCTCCGCCACCGCTGCTGGGGCCACGAGGCGCCTCGTAGGGAGCAGACGGTGGGGCGCGGGGCGCTCACCTGCTCGTGAGCCACGGACGCGTCCTGGAAGCTCTGCTCCACCTGCTGCAGGGCGTTGTGCAGGCACGTGTAGCTGATGGCGTTCGCCTGGTGGTACTTGCTGTAGGCCTGCCAGTGCCTGCAACAGGAAGCGCTTTTAAGCGGGCACAACACCCGCTACCAACAATGGGCCAAGCTCTACAGACCTCTACGTGTAACGATGTTTTCAGCCAATCAATGAGTGCCTATACTTGTGGGCGGAAACCGGAGCACCTGGAGAAAATGCACGCGGCGCAAAGGGGGCCAAACTTCACACGCAGGTTGGGGAAGGCAGCATAGTACAAATGTTGAGAGCATCTCATCCAATGCAGTCAACTATCGGTTGCGGGGGTAATCGTGGGGGGGGGGGGGGGGGGGGGTTGATTTGAAGTGGCCCAGACACAAGAAAAAATACATGGGCTAATGGAAGACGTAGGTAGACTAAGCTGTAAGAGACGCGGCCTTGCAATGTCCTGCTCAACGCAGCGCGATTTCTCAGACGCTTTCAGCTCGCATGGGTTTTTTGTGATTTCCTCATGAAAGCGAATAGCAAATAACTAATGCCGCAAATATACGTTTTTGTATCATTCTTAAACTTAAATGCTAATTATATATAAAAAAGTGGTTACTCGTGGGATATTAACGCGGACAAACGTGCCCTGGGTTTAAATTAAATTTCTTGTCAATTACTGGCAAGAAATGATATATGTGCGCTTCTCAAAACACAACAACCGTTGTGCATTAAAAAAAAACCCTGGTGCGCGCATTTTGCAAGAGCCTTAATTAATCCTCGGTAAATTACATCAGTGGCTTCTCTGCACCGTGACATAATCTGAGATTGTTTCACAGAGAAAACAGGCGATTGCTTTTTCAACTGTTATACTGCATTATCAACAAAACCGGTTTATAACGCACCGAATTGTACAGATTAAAAGACACGCCGGAAAGAAAGACGCATCCCAGACTTTGGGGTACAGTTGTGTATTTTTTTTTTTTAAGCGTGCCCTCTCGCCTCTCTCTTCTTCCCTCCTCCGATCGTTATCCCCTACATCGGTAGGGCGGCGAGCCCAGATGCCCTCGTTCAATCCGCAATGTTGAGTGATGGTGCATTACGCCTGGCCTGTTATATGCTGCGTGTTGTTGCCACCCTCCCTTTTGATATTCCCCACTGCATTGTGGGTTCTTGAAAGACAATATTAAACACTTACAACAGGGGTGGGGAACCTTTTTTCTGCCAAGGGCCATTTGGATATTTATAACACCATTCGCGGGCCATACAAATTTTATCAACTTAAAAATTAACTTGTTATATTTGGTCAAACATTTAATTAACTCACCCCTAATTCTGATGGCTGGAACTGCTGCTCTTTGGCGAGGCGTGATGATGTTAGCCGGTATTGACGATGTTGCTGCTACTCGCAACTGCTTTTACAGGTTTGCTCCTAGATTTATTGAATTTCGAGTCCCGTCTGCGGTTGCCTTGGCAGGGCAGGCAGACCAAATTATTTCGCGGGCCTCATACGGCCCGCGTTGCCGGACGTTCCCCACCCCTGGCTTACAACAACGATGAAGCGTGGTCTATAATCGGGAGAAAAATATGGTACTGCTGTGGAGCTGACTACCAGAAGGTGATTATGAAAGCGCCGCTTTTAACACGGCAAGAGATGTACACACGTACGCTGAACCTCTTTTGCACCGTACGTAGCCAACCGTTGCCAATCGGAGGTGCCGGGATGCCTTCTGGAAGGTAATTCCGGTCGGCTGGTGGCGGTGTCTACCGTCACCTGGGTGGCCGCGTTACTGCGTTGCTATCGGGAACTTTCTTCCCGAAGGTGATTTCGAACAACTAGATTCCAGATTGAAACACGTCTTCTGCAAAACAGTGCATTCTCCCGATTTCGAGACACCCCCCCCCCCCCCAACAACTTTTGCTTTAAAATACAGGGAGAAAAAAGGCGTATCTTATAATCCAGATAATATGGTAATAATGAAAACGATACTTTAATTTATCTATCTTAGGAAACCCTTACCGAGCCCCAAGACTCTTTTTCAACAAACGGCAGGCGCAGCACGCAGCTCTGCCCAATCAGATCATTCAACGGCGATCTGAAACAAATTCACGCGGCTACTCCTGAAGCAGTGTAATGGATATCAAATCTCGACATGAATTTGTAATCTGTTGTAATCCCCAAAATGTCAAATGAAACAAGGACAGCCCCGCCAATATAGATGTTTTTCAGCAGGGGGCGATGTTGCTACGTGTAATTCCAATTGAGTACTTTACAGATAGTTTTCAGCATTGGGATGTGGACAATGTCGGCGAGATAGTATGGGTATGATTTTTGTTGATGCTGATAAGCAGTGTCACATGTGTAGAGGTGTTACGGGAGGGTGACACGCGGTTGTAGGGTGGTGGCCACAAACACGTCCGCTACGGCCTCCACCCCAGTGAGGGACAGTATAAAAGGTGGAACCCGAAGAGCTGAGAGGGAGTTCGACTCAAGCAAGATGAAGAGCCAGTGAAGAAAGAAGATCGACTAGCTAGACCCTGGAACTCCAGTGGCCCGCTGTCCTTCTGAGGGCCGGACTCGTGTGGCTGGTGATCGGGACCTGCGCCGAAGCTGGGCCAGGTCAGACAGCCTCCTGCGAGAGGACCAGGATAGAGGGAACCAGGGAGCTAGCGTGGGCTAAAGCTCGGGGAACGTTCCCTCTATAGAGTACGGGTGAAGAGGCCGTTACCTCTTCAAGTATCAGATTCGCCACTGTAATTGAAACGTCTGTGATAAATACGTGTTGCCTCAAGTGAACAGTCTCCGACGTCAATAAGGCCACTACACATGCATTAACCCCACTCTGTTGTGCACTTCATAAGTCACCCGGGGGCCTTCCAATCCCTTTTTGGTAAGTCTTGGTTTTAATTTGGTCCCAGGATAAAAGCCCTTTATTCGTACGCGCCTGTAGTTTGTAGCCACGTATCTATTATGTGTGCTGAACTTCTTTCGCACCGTACGCAGCAAACCATGCTAATCGGAGGTGCGGGGGAAAGACAACAAAGTAAAGACGAAAAAAGTGCTGTTAGCGAGCACCTATTAAGGCCTGCGCGGCACGCGAGGCCATGTTAACACACCGCAACAAGTTACACATTTAAGTCTGAGTCGACCTACGGGAGGCCCAGGACAGGTTCAGATATTCGTCTTATTGGTTGAGAGCGGGAATGTAACTCAGTTCGTGGCGCAGTGCGCTAACCACTGCGCCACTGCTCCTCCAATTGTTTGCAGTTACGTATGTATGCTGAACTTCTTTCACACCGTACGTAGCCAACCGTGCTAATTGAGCGAGACCCGCCTTGCAACACGGGCACAGTAATTAAAACGTCTTTTAACATCATTGACGCTTCAATTGCTCCCATAATTAATTGCAAATCGGATGCCATTTCGGCATAGGTTGACCACGTGTAATGTGACCCGAGTCAAAACCATCACCCCGACTCAGAGCGCCACACAGATGGATTCTCGAAACCATTGCCATACTGCGTGGTGCCACTCAGATTATATCTAACAATATGAGGCATGTGTTTTGGATCAAAACATGTTGGACATATTGGTAATGACGGTAATGACGAAGACAATTATGAAAATAATGACGATGGTGGAGATAACTATGATCATAACAATGTGCTAATCGGAAGTGCAAACAATGATGATGATGATAAAGACAACGATGAGAACCATTTCGATGATAGTGATGGTGGTGGTGGTGCCGGTGGCAATGACACTCACAGTATTGCCTGCTGTGCAGGAGGTATATCCGTCTGCACGGCATGCTGGTGCAGGACCGTCTTGGCGCACTTGGACAGCTCGCCATCCCACGTGCTCAGCCCGCCCTGGGGTCGGGAGTTCAACGTCACATCGAGCTGCCTCCACTCCCTGTGTGCTTGGAGCTCGCGCCCAGCAGGTGTCCACCCAAAACAAGACTTACATTGATTGCATCTTACAAGTGAAACCACCTACCACATCTACCCCCCACCTCTACTGCCCCCACCCCCCCCCCGACCGCCCTCTAATTTCACTCCTCTCTCTGTTCACGCGCTCTCTGCTTCAGCAATAGAAGTATTCTGTTGAAGCCCCCAATGACTTGACACTCAGTGGAAGGTCACTCCATCTTCTTCCGCTGCCCTTGTAATTTGGAAATTCTCTCCGCGCAGCCACCCAAAGCCATCTGTGCCGCTCAAATCCAGGATCGAGTCCTTCTGTCCTCTTCTCTTAGATTGACAGCTCTCTGTCCTCTTTAAAAAAATATGGTATTACATGGAGCGGTGGTACGGTGGTTAGCGCCTTTGCTCTGTGAACCCAGCGATCGAAAGTTCGATTCTCGGGGCACGGCCAACATCAGTGGCGAGTGATATCAGAACCGGTCCTGGCCTCCCTCCTCCCCCCATCAACGAGCATCGCACTGACCAGCAATGGTGAAGTGGGGTAAAGAGAAAAAAAAACCCATAACTGACGTGGCATGGGAGGCCTTCATCGATTGGGTGGATTGAGAAGGGCTGGAATGCATTAACTTCGTTTAACATATACGGCGGCTTCTCTTCCGTGCGATGGGACGTGCCGCGTTATTTTGCACGGGCACCCTGTGTGCAGCAATTTCAGCTACGTGTGGGCAGTAGGTTTTATTTATTTATCGTCGCTGTGGTGGTGGTGGTGGAGACCATGGCCGCGCTAACCAAACTGTCGCCCGGCTCGACCCCAAACACAAACCCGCTGATTAAGTAAATGGCCCCTTATTTTTTGCGCTTTCATTATTTATTTGTTCATTTGATGTAACATTTTTCTTTTTTAATGCCAGCAATTGATATACATCGCAAAGTATGTTTCAGTGAAACGTTATAGCAACAACAATAAAAAAACTCAACACAATAAGAGTGTCCTCAAAGGAAGACATTTACATAACAGGCAACGTTTAAAGCCGATTATGTATTTTTTTTCCCCCTTTAAAGGCCGCACAGTATTATTATTGATGAAGGGATTGAGTGTTTGTTGTGGTTATTATGCTTAACGCACCACTGTCAACACAGCAGCAGTAGCATTGCAAAAAAAAACATTTTCGTTTAAGTACATCCCAAACTTTGACTTAAAACTTTCGTGACTGCAGGAATTCATATTCTTGGTTCTTTCGGTAAAGTCACCTAAATAGAAAAAAATGATAAAATAAAATATCTATATATATAAACGTCAAAAATTGTCTGTTTGTGGGTTTGTTTGTGGGTTTGTGTGTTTGCGCGCTTGCAAACGATTTGCCTCTCCAACGGTGGGGTTTACGTGGGGGGGGGGGGTCAGGGGATGCAGCCCAGCCCCAGCCTGCCAAGGTGCCACCTCGGCCGGCTGGACAATCTAGGCGAGGCCGGAGGCTCTGCACGGGACTAGGCCTCACCACGCCACTCTGTCAGGTGAGTACTTTGTGCTATAGAGTCGATAAATACTGCTAAAGAGTCAGCATGTACTACTGTAGTGATAGCAGGTACCACCACAGTCGGTATGCACTGCTGTAATCATAGGTACCACCACAGTATGCACTGCTGCAGTGAAATCAGGTACCACCACAGTCAGTATGCACTTCTGTAATCATAGCAGGTACCACCACAGTATGCACTGCTGTAATCATAGCAGGTACCACCACAGTCGGTATGCACTGCTGTTGATATTTTTAAGAGTAGTTTTGAAAAAAAATTACGACCCGGGCAACGCCGGGTGCTTCCTGCTCGTAAAAAATAAAATAAATAAATATATTTTAAAAACCCATGACGTTTCCATCGCAACACAAGCGGTCTTCATCAGGCGGAGAGAAAAGAGGGGTAAGCCTCCAAATGTAGCTGCCTATAAGGGTTTTTTTGTTTTCTATTTACGTGACTTTACCGAAAGAACCAAGAATATACATCCCAAACGTTAGTCGTCAATTCATTTTCATATTCCAATCCGTTTCCTGGCCATCTTAGCAAATATATATATGCATATCCGAGTAGTGACACTTTATCATTTTTATACCGTGCTGCATTAATTTGCAAGTAAACACGGATATTTTGACAGCTTTTTTTATCACAATTCATACGTGCGAGAGCATTCCAAAAGAAAAATCCGGTTTATTTTGCTGAACAAACTGCTTCTGCATGCACTTATTTCGCGGGGGGGGGGGGAAACGTAAGCGGTGTGTTTCAAATGACACGTCCATTAACACCGCCAAGCCGGTCAGTACGGGGTTAGCCAAAGGTGGGAGTACCAGGATCGTTTGAAACATCACTCAAAGACGGCGTTTGCTATGGTTGGGAATTGAAGCCAGGTCGCCGAGACTCATGGCGCGCTGGCGCTAACCGCTGCTCCGCCGCTCCTCCGCCAAAATCGCTAAATTATTTTAAATGCCATTTTTTGACGCTGTACCTTGGCTAATTTCAAATTCCTCATTTCCCAGTGACACAAATAATTAACAATGGCACAATCCCAGCACTATTTTTGAGTCAATTAAAACAAATTAATGATACCTGACATGTTTTATAGTTTAATTTAACACGTCTCTGTACGCGTTTATGCCATGATTTTATATTTTAAAAGTGATATTTCGTTTATCTTGTTCATTTAATCGGGTGTCCTTTATTTAATGAGTTGAGAGCCCACCTCCCACCCACTGTCTGTATTGCAAAAGAAACGAGGATGGCCCCCAGGCTGCAAATTTGGAGAACATTGGACAGGAGCCCCCATTTAATTCCACACACCAGGGCCCCTGCCGACCAGGCTACGCCGCTGACACTTGTCGACGTGTAGACAGAAGTGAGCGGTGGCACAGCGGTCGGTGCACTGCACTCTGAACCCAGTGACCTGGTCACGGGCTAGCATCAATGACGAGCGATATCTGAAACAGTCCTGCAACCACCCCCCACCCGTCACTTCTTTCGCACCGTACATAGCCAACTGTGCTAATCGGAGGTGTGATTAGCACGAACAAACGTTGGGCAGCATGGCCAAACGGCCCCCACGATCGAGCCGGCACGGGAAGGCCTTCATTCAGCAGTGGATTGACAAAGGGCTCCACATTTGTATTATAATGTTCCAACGATGGCCAACTGTTGAAAAAGACATCATAGCAGTCCCTGACGCCCCTCTCCAGCAGATGCTTCACACATGCTGGCAATGCACTGTGCATTTAATATGAGGACCTGGGGTTGAATTCCCAGAGACTTTCAAATGAGCTACTTATTCCAGAAGGAACTTTCCTGATGATTATGCTACCCTGCCACACGTGGCTTTTAATATATTAATTACTCATCTTATTGCTATAACCAATTATCACAAAAGCTTACTGAATGGGAAATTAGAGGCTCCATTGAAGATGGTTTCATTCCACGGTAATATTCATGTCATATTTTACAATATTAATTATATCATATTTGTCGTTCAAGGCCTCCGTGAGGAAAAAAAAGCCAGAATATCAAACGCAAAAATGAAGCAAATTAATGTATTTCAAAGAGATTATTTAATATGTTTATTTATCCTGCACTAGGCCTCGGTGGCCAATGCACACAGAGCTTCTCGTTAATTTACAGTATTTCAGGAATTGAGGCCGCTTGCCAAAGGGCTAACGAGCTTGACATTCCATTATTTGAGGTCAGAGCAAAGCTCCATCCCGCCATTTGTCTGCGGACGCTAATGAGGCAGTTGAGAAAAGATATTTTAAAGCGGCAAACCTGGAAGAAAAAAAATTGGACCACCTCACCTGCACAAAAGGAGGTCAATCAATAATTTACATAATAATGAACAGAGACTGACCGGACGTTTGGAAGACAAGCCACGTGGAGTTGCTATAGCACGACGGACGAGTGCGTTATCTAGCCTGTGATGTTTTTATTGCGGTTATGAGTAATTAACTGGCGATAATCCGTCAGGTTTTTGAATCAGGGAAACATGGGAAGATGGCATTTCACATTGCAAAATATGTTTCAATATTCGATGGTGATAAGAATAGTTAATTTTGTCGAACAATGTTTTTTTTTTTAAGGAATTCATCACTGAAAGAAAAACAACATGCAGACAGGCTGTTGTGCGGTGCATGCGGTGTCTGCAGTTTGTGCGGTGTGGGCGGTGCGTGCGGTTTGTGCGGTGCGTGCGGTTTGTGCGTGCGGTGTCTGCAGTTTGTGTGGTTCGTGCAGTGCGTGTGGTTTGTGTGATGCGTGCAGTGCGGATGACGGTGCACGTGCCTGCATGTTGTGCTGGTAAGCGATGAAGTGTTCCATCAGCATCTCGTACACCGTCACGTTTGAGACCTTTTTGCTGAGCAGCGTGTCCCTCTACAAGTGAGCAGGCACACGCATGCACACACGCGCACAAGCACGCAGATTAACGCGCACGCACGTACATACACACGCACATATGCACACACGCGCGCACATGCACCCACGCGCGCGGCACGCTTGACGGCATGCAGACGCAGCAACGCAGGGACGTGTGAGCACGGTCGGGCTTGGAGAGGAACCCCCAATTAAAAAATCCCCGTTGACATGGGGTGTCGGAGCTTACGGAATTAATTTTAACATTGAAAAGTTTGCATTAGTATTTACACGGTTTTTTTTTTCAATATTAATACATATAGCCCATTTTAAATATTCAAAACGTATAAACATTGCCACTTATTTGAGAGTCGACGCACGACGCTTGAAACCCACGTCGTTTGTGCTAAAACCTAGCCGCGCTACTTCCTATCCCCTCCGTCTCCAGCTCTCTCCGTCCACAGTTAACCCAAGCCGCCTCGCGTCCCATCGCTCACAGCGAGCCCCGCGCACATGCGTCACGACATCCGCGTCACGCGCTGCACTGCAGCCAGCCTGCCGACGGGCATGCGGGTGGCTCGGCGGAGGTCTTGCCTGCGACGAGGTGAGGTTGAGCAGAAGGTGGCACCAGCCCTGCACCTTGGACGAGCTGGTCCTGGGCTCCAGCTTGCACCACTTGTCCACCCCCGTGGACGGCAGGTCCTGGCACGGCAGCAAAAGGGCCGGAAGGGCCGGCGATCAGAGAGCGAGCGCGCACAGTGCGGTAAAACGCTAAAGTTGTGCAAGGTGCAGCCGTGCAATTTCTCGCCCGTGCCCGCCCCCCCCCCCCCCCCCCCCCCCCCAGAGGGAGCTTTAGAAAGAACAGCAGGCTTGGGACACGTTAAGGGGAGATGTACGTGGCGTGTCGAGGTCATTCAACAGCGTGCCGAGCCGTCCGCGCGTTGAAATCAAGCGCGGGTTGTTATTTGGGGAGGCGGGGAAGGTCGCGGTGGCGGTCTCGTCGTGAGCGATGGGAGCCGACTCGGTGGGGGCTCACATTCAGTGGGATGTCGAGGCATCCCAGGAAGTCATCGACGTGCTCCTCCGCCGAGCCGGACGCGTTGGTAGTGCGGGCGGACTTCACGATCTGTTTGAAATAGCTGAACGGGAGCAAGAGACAGTGCCCAGCGATGTTGGGGGCCGGCGGGTGAGATATATTGCAGCGGAACACACTCGCAGCCAGACAACGTGCACAAAGAGCATCCCTGTATTGCTGGACGGCAGGGGTGGAGCAGTGGGTGCAGTGGGACACTATGATTCCCAGCCACGACTAACAAGTGGCCGGCCTTACCAAACTCCCCTCCCTCCTTCATCATCCTGCGCTGACCAGCATGGTGAAGTATGGATACAAAAAAAAACCTCATGACCAATATGGAGTGGCGAGGGCTTCATCTATCGGTGGGTTGAGACTAGCAGCACTCATTTGTTTATTTTTACATCCGAGAATAAAAGAAAATATTTAATCCGACTGTATGACGTCACGGGTAATTACAACACATACTGCGTCACGTCTCTGCCTTTTCACCTAACAGTGGTGTCCCGTAGCATCGTCTGATGTTACTTTTGTGAGCATGAAAACACGGCGGTGTATTTTGTAATAATACAAAAAATATGCTGATCTATAAAAAAAAATCTGAAACGTTCCATAAATATCTGAAAATCTAATATGAGAAATGTGAGTTTCAACCCCTACGACACACCTAGCTGGTACCACCAATTGGTCGGCGCATGAGTGTTCATCGTACATAAGGTGCACATTGGGACATCTGTGTTCACAAAAGGCAGGTGGGGCCACTTGAAATCTTTACGCGGGCGTAATGGCAAAGTCATAAAACCGCCCGCTCCACGCTACATAGCAAGGTAGCGTCGCGGGAAAGCGAAGAGCGCCGCTCATCAGTAGCTCCACATCTGGGCGTTGGCGAGCAATAACGGTGGAGTGGGATGTAAAAACCGATCCCGTACGGAGGCATGTTCGGCTCTTTTACACCGTTTTATTGGCGCGGGATTAGGGATGGAAAAATATGTGACGGCCAAGATTAACTTGGCACATGCAGTAAAGTTTGGGCTCCAGGATACCGCACGGACGGGACGCATTCCAGCTTTCTAAAAAAAATAAACGTTGATAACAGATCAAGCGAAAACAGAGAAGTTTTCCCTCTCCGGGATCGGTGAAGCGAGGAGCAACGGAGAGATGCCACTTGGGGTCACGCAATTCCGATGCCGCTCGCTGCGTGAACGCTCCCCTAAGAACAGCAAAACGGCGGCACGTGGGGAGAGAGACGCCCAATCTCGCCCCTTCCTGTCCCATCTGGCAGCCACAATAGCGGCAGGCCCTTGAGAAACACGCCAGCCCACCCACCCGCGTATGATGCGCCACGGAATCAAAACACGCTCTCTCGTACGCCTTTCTCGTACGCCTTATCCATAATAGAGGTTTTCTTAGGGTTAGGGTCGCGTAAATATAAATGTGTCGTTAAACCCGCCACCACCCAACACAGCCATTTAGTAAAGTTTGTCACGTAAACAAAACGTGCCAATTCGTTACTAGTTCAGCACACACCGGTGCGCTGGAGTGTAAACCCACAACATTTACAATTCGAGTCCGACGTTTCGCCAGTAATTACAACCAGCCTCATCAGGCGACAGCGAAAGTTGTGGAGAAACCCTCCTGTCTTTGGTATTAAATAGAGGGATTCAATGTCAACGTCATGACTTGTGAGCCAATCGGGTGCGAAGACCAAGTGGTGGAGCGGGGGTTAATGCATTCACATAAATGACAATCGATCTCTTACTTTATTGGTTGGGTTATTCACAATCAAAGCAAAGGGCAATGCTGGTGGGAGAGCCGATGGCCCGGTGCGACGCGCGACGACCTTGATGCCCAAACAAAAAAACACCGCGATTCGCAAAGCGGAGCAGCGGCGGTGGGCGCGCCAGCTGGCCGGCCGTGTGCTCAACCGATTTCACGCCAAACCCCTTCATTAGGCGTAGGTGCCGCAATCAATGGGGTTTTCATTAGCGCCGCTGTTTTGAGTTGCGCGTTATACCTCGCGTAAACAGGTCTGCCCGGGCATCAATTTGCCGTTGAAATCATCGAAAACGAAAATATCAATAGAGCGGAGAGAGAGAGAGAGCTTGTTTTTATAATGCAGCAAGGACGCCGCTTGTTGTGCAACAACAACAAAAAAAATAAGGTGAAGGTGCAGCCTCTGCAATTTCTGACTTGTGCCACAGCTGGTTGGAAGGGACGCCAATCGAGGCAGCTATAATAGAGAGCCCCTCTAAAGCATATTTTTCGGCCTACTCTTCCACGGCTGGTCAGCATTATTGGAACAGGTGGTACATGTAATATATAAATAACAATTTACAGCCCTTTGTCAATCCAATGCTGTATGAGGGACTCATTCAGCAGTGGTAGTGGCGACGTTTTTTGACCATATTTAATCCATCTGGTCAGTGAGGTTGGTGCAGGGGCAGGTCGTGGGGGGTGGGGGGGGGGACAGGAGAGCCACCGATGTTAGCCGTGACTGGAAATCAAACTGACGTCACCAGGTTCACGGCGCAGCGTGCTAACCGGTGCGCCACTTGCTCCCTTCAGAGGCCTAATAAGATCAAGCAGCCAGAAGGCACAGACGCGTCAGAAAAATAAAACTACAATCAAACATTTCTTCTTAAAATACCGATATACAACAAACAAAAAAAGGGATCTTTTGACTAAATATCAGATTCTACGACATGATGGTTTGCCAGTCGAGGAAGACGGGAACGCTTGCTTCGACGAATTTGAAACACTGACGGGCCATTCTCAATCTGTAGCTTGGGCAGAAGAAACCGGCAATGTGCCAAGGTTCACCGAGCACGGACGGGCTCGGCAACCGCACCTCCGATGAGCCACGCACGGTGCGAAAGGACACGTACGCGCTGCACGTACTTGGGTCGCGCAGGCGTTTGTCGATGGCGTGTGCGCGTGCGCGTGTCTCACCTGCCCATCCCCTTGAGGCTGTGCACCTCGTTGAGCTTGCTGCACGCCTCCACCACCGACACGTCGTCGTCGTGGTCCCTGTCCGGGTTTGGGCACACGCGGTGAAACCTCCTCGACCCAACTCAATCCGGGGGTGGGGCGGGGGGGTGGGGTCACTCACTCCGGTGGTCATTGCGTTTCTATCATTATTATTATTTTCCGTATTAATATTATTCTTGCAACAGTTTGTGTTTTTATTACATTCGTTACTGAAGACGCAGCATCGCACGCCTCAAACAATTTCCAGGGAAAAGCGTGCCCCGTTTCCAAACCGCCACGTGTCCGACATAGACTTAACTGGGTCCGCCTTAAAAGCAGCCCGATTCGCAATCGGATTCTCTCTGCGATGCAATTTTTTGTTGTTGTTCAAACAAACTAAACACGTAGAAAAACAGCTCGGACGCAAAGGACCGCCACGTGCCCGACGAAGACCGATCGGTCGAGAGAAGGAGTCAGATGTCGGCTAAGGCAGGAAGGAGACGCAGCGGAGAGGCAATGGAGAGGCGGGACAGAAGACGGGGGAAATGAGGGGCAGAAAATAATCGGCGGTGAAACGACGGGAGCCAGGAACGGGTCAGCAGAAGGGAAACCGTACGCCTCTGTGCGCGATTTAAAGCAAGTCATCAAGCATCAGTTTTGACTTGTCAAGCGACGGACTTTTTCCCTCGTGTGCAAAGCGGGTGCGAAGGTGCCGTCCTCTAGTGGGTGAAACCAGAGGTCACTTGATAGGAAACTCAGAGGTAGCTCTGTGATATCCGCTTACCCGGGGCCGTTCCTCTTACACAAAGGGACGCACTGCTCGTGACGTGGCACTGATAGCACAATGAGGGTAACATTCTTAATATATTTTTTTTAAAGGAGGACTTACCATATGTCAAGGTGAAGTGTATCGGTTTGAATATCGTCAATGTCTCTGAAAAGAAATGTCCACACATGCGAATATTAAAAAACCAATTGGTATTTTTTTTGTTATGTGCAGTTTTTGAAGTCGCACCGGCTACTGAAGACAACGCATTGTGTGAGTGACACACCACAGAGGAAAGGCCAAGCCCACGTGAATACTTTGTCAGGTTTCAAAAACATGGAGGGGGGGCGCTGCCACGGTGTCATGGTTGGCACACTGGACTTACAAAGCAGAGGTTGCCAGCTTTCGCGACCAACATCATCCATAATACATGTTTTTTGGGTTAGATCGCATAAATATATAAACATATCTGGCTGTCGCCTGATGTAGCGAGTTGTCGTTACTGGCGAAACGTCGTATTCAGATTGTAAATGTTGTGGCTTGGCTCTCCAACACACCGGTGTTGCTGTAGTCGTGACGAATTGGCCACGTTCTGTTTTCGTGGCGGGTTTAACGACACGTTTATATATATAAGCGATCTAAGCCAAAAAACCTGTATCACAGTTGAAGTTTCTTAATCCCCCCCTCCCCCCCTCAACAGCCCCCATCACCGAACAGCACAAATGGGTACCCCGCCGATAGTCGTTTGGCAGGCCGCGAGTGGTGAAGTTAAAGTGTGGGTACTCCCACCTCTTCTAAGACGTTTGGCCAGGGTAGAAGAGGAAGCCAATACCGTCCACAGGGGGCGCTCTAGAGCTGCCTCGAGTGAACGCCCTTCCGCCGGCAGTGACGTGAGTAAGCAATTGCAGGGCCGCACCTTTACCCCATATAACAAGAAGGCGTGCTGTTTTATAACAACTTTTTTTTCTTCATAAAAGCTATCACAGCAACCTTGCTATCATACATATTTGTGATCTAGAGAAGAAACGCTTCGAGGTAATTAACGTTAGCAGTCGCCACCCTCGGGGGTACGTATATGCCATTTTTGGGCCAATGTCTCAAGGGCTAAGGCTGCCAGGATGTGGAGCAAAACCTCGTACGTCGTGCCAACACCGCAGTGCAATCCGAACAAAAACACATCGGAGAGCTATGCAAGGAATTACATTTTTAATAAACCCACCAAACGGCGTGCAAATGTGTGGTTAGCGTAGCATTTGAGCGTGCGATGAGAACCAACTTGTTTGACCAGGAGAGATTTAATTTTATCGCAGCTGCCGGTGGGGAGAGCTGCCGTGATACCCAGATACACTCGGCAGGTCACGCGGAATGTGCGCTCGCCCGTTCGCCTCCAATGTTCTCTCTGTTATATTTGTTCCCCACCCCCCCCCCCCCCCCCCGAAGTCTGGAGATTATTTCGTGAAAGTCTACACGCCCACATCCCTACGTGGGCGCTTGGGAATCCGCTCAAGGCGCATTTACAACACGCCGCGGTGTTTCACACGCCTCGCCATAGACTCGACAAAAACTGCGCGCGAGCGCACGTGCACGCCGGATCGCGGCTCTGGCGCGGCAGGAATGGCAGTCGCACGTTGGGCAGACGTGCGCGCGTGTGTGTGTGTGTGTGCATGTGTGGCGCAGGGGAGCGGCAGTGTAGCGTTTAGCGCTACGCTGCGCTACGAACCAAAGCCACCCGAGTCGAATTTCCGCTCACGGCCACCAACACCGGTGACAATTATCTGAACCGGTCCTGGGCCTCTCCTAGGTCGACTCAGTCTCAAACGAGTACCTGGTGTGGCGTGTAAAATCATTGCCACTGGAGAGACAAAGGCGGTCAGGCGTGGTGCTTGGCCACTCATCCCCTCGTGTACCGTTCCAGCCTTCATAGGTGCTCGCTCACAGCACTTTCCCCAACAGTCTGTTAAGGCTATATGGGGGATCTTTGTATTTGTGATCGGCACGAGCATATATATCTAATCTGTACATGATGAGGAAAAAACAATCGTAATAGAATAATAAGCACAGGCCGGAAAACCATAAGTTTCACAAAACCGCAGTTAATAGCACTCAGCCTTTGTGCATATTGCAAAGAAAAATAATCAATCAGCAGTTCCAGAAGAAGTGCATTGTGGTCCAGTTGTCTTAGGTCACCATCAGAATAAATTTGAGTAAATGTCACCGACTTAAAGGCAGCGATAATGCCAAGATAAACAACTGTAGGCTAGTTTCATCATTGTAAGGACTCATAAGCACAGCATAATCACCAATTCTCACTGTTGCAAGTCTGCTTCTGCACTTACATGGTTCCCAGAAGCACACTTTGCAGCAATGAGCATTGGTGACCGCTGCACTGACGAGTCCTACTGAGGATGAAACTGATCGACAGTTTTCCATCACTGCATCACTGCTGCCTGCCAGTCGGTTAAATTTACTCAAATACATCCTGATGATGACCAGAGACAAGAGGACCGACAATCTTGATTTGAAGCTTTTGTGACTGCCAGGAATCCATACTCTTTGGTTCTTTCGGTAAAGTCACGTAGGAAGAAATAAAATAAAACAAATCTTCCAACGTGGCTTTACCAAAAGGACCAACAATGCAGTTCTTCTGGAACTGCTGACGGTTTTTTGTTTTCGCATAATGCACGAGGGCTGAGAGCTATTACCTTTGCTTTTGTTTGTTGCTTGAATCAAAGTGGAGGACAATTAAAACCTCCCACGTGTTTTTTTTTTCACGTTGCACCACGTGCTGTACGGCACGATGTCCGACGTTCCGCTTCAAGTGCTTAGAGCTTCTTCAGGAAGTCAATTGAGGCGGCCGCTCTCCCCCCTCTCTCTCTCTCTCGCTGGATTCATTACCAAACTGGTCGCTGGTGTTGCTGATTGCACATCAAAGAGCTCTGCAGCACGACCGCTAAAAGCAACCTTCGTTGTCGTAAACATCTTTAATGCCGAGCCAACAAAAACACACGCACATTCGTATCTGCACCTTCACACAGACCGCCATACGTAGCCGTGAGCAGTTCCCAATATAATTCTGCCAGTTAAAAAAAAAAATGGGCAAAGGGAACCGTGATGAAGTCCGGCAATGAATAAGCGTCAACATTATTTAAATCTGAGAATAGGTTTTCCCCTTTTGTCTGGCAACAAAACAGGTGTGAATATGTTAAAACACCAAACTGAAACCTTTTAACAAGGAATCATGTCTGCATTAACCACAATACTTGTGATCAGAATGCAAACAAAAAACGTACCCTGATAATAAATGCATTGTCTTTGAAACTGATTGGTCCACACCAGAAAAAGCTTTCTTTTGAGCCTAGTCTCAAAACGGTGTTAGACCAGAGGACGCCAAAAGGCGTACAGCACAAAGACAATACACTATCAGAGTAATGAGCCGCGGGCAACGTTGCGTGTTTACTGGGATTCAATATGACTTCATTTGAAAGATGGGAAAAACATTTTTTGCTGTAGCAGGAGCGGCCGAAAACACTCGGCCCCGCAGACGTCTAAGATTAAAAACTCCGCGGCACAACCGGCCGTGTGACCACGCCGCGTGACCACCTAATCAAATCGCCCAGCTCCGTAACCCGACTAAGGTTTTAAACCCCTGCTGGCAGGTAACGACAGTCGAAGCAATGTTAGCCGTGCTTGCTCCCGTCGTAGTAGCCTTGTATCAGAAGTTTCCCTTCGCTTCCCCAGCCCACCCACCCACCCCGCCCAACGGCATACATCAGACCTGTGCTTATATCCAGCTGCCACCGCAACCACCAGGTTCTGTGACGTCACCTAGTGAGAGATAAACGGGCGCCTGAGCGCGGTCGCTCGCTCGCTCCCCGGCGCGAGAGTTTAGCGTCGCCGCACCCCCCCCCCCCCACCCCCGTCCCCCCCCCCCCCCTGTCCCACCAGCGACAGACAGAAACGAATGGCGCTTACAGGCTGAAGGACTCCTTCCACTGCGGGTCGAGCGTGTGCGGCTTGACCTCCGTGGCCTGGATGAACTTGGCGGGCAGCACCTCTTTGATGCTGGGCGTGCGCTTGTCGGAGCGCCGGCGCAGGCTGAACTTCCTCTCCTTCTTCTCCTCGGCCGCCTCGCGCGGCGAATCCTTGCTGCCCGGCATGATGCCAAGCATGCAGTACGGGTCGCTGAATCCTGGGCGGGGGGGGGGGGGGGCGGTGGAGTTGGAAGGGGGAGGGGGGGGGGTCGCAGAGTTCGATTCCCGCTCACAGCCAACACCAGTGATTAATTAATTTCTGTATCGGTCCTGGGCCTCCCCTAGGTCGACTCAGCCTCAAATGAGTACCTGGTGCGATGTGTAAACATCGCCACTGGGGAGACAAAGGCGGCCGGGCGTGGTGCTGGCCACCCACCCCCTCGTGTGCCGTACCGGCCGTCATAGGTGCTCGCTTACAGCACTTGCTCCTACAGTCTTTTATGGCTATACAGGAGATCTTTGTCTTTGTAGATGTCATGGGTCAAGGCTTGCTCCTGGGATCGCCACCACTGGCAGTGTTGGGCATAAGTAAAGCAAAGCACAAGCTCAGGGCTCCTAAGCAGCTTCAAAGGGAAGCCGGCTTCCTGCAAAAATAGGAGCACATGAAACATCAGTTCAAATTCAGATCCCAATAATAATAATGTTGCAAGCCGATTAGCATAAAGGGCCAATTAATTTAGCTCTCTGTCATCTCTATGTTGTCTACATTTCTCATCTCTCGCCTCACAACATCTCGATACTTCTCCGGGGACATGTTTTGATCGGCCCGACACCGAAGCATGAGCATGCAACGGGCTGACGGTCAACTCACCATCGGGGTCTTTGGACATCAATCCTTTAGCCTCCACCACGGTGACCTTGAGCACTTGCACGGGCGGCTTGACAAAACAACACGAGTCACTTCACAAGAATCGCTAGACAAGACCATCACGATCATCATCAGATCATCATGACTTACAACAGGGGGACACAATGGTTGGGGTGAAAGGGGCGACGTAATGCTTAGGCACACTACACTATGGCCCCTGCGAGATGACTCTTGATTTGATTCTCGGCCATAGCTGACAACAGCGGAGAGTGAAATCTTAACTGGTCCTGCAACCTCCCCCCGCACCCCATGGACCACTCAGTAACAACACTGGCCGCTTTGATAATTCACTAGCAGCATCTCAAGATATTCGCAAGGCTACTTCGGCAGCCGCCCACTGGGCTCGCTCGCCAGCCTCCACTCATTCGACGTCGCCAATCCATTTCCGGCAACACATGGAAGGAGGAGGTCTCAGCGTGACCATCGACATAAACGTCCACAATCATCCACGCTGGGACTTACTTAAGCACCTCTCGAGACGGAGGCAGGCACAGTTCGTCGTGTTTTATTTATCGATCAACAAGCAGGGCTTAAGTTTCTCACTGAACGTTTTCCAAATCGCCGGAAAAGGACTGACAACGTTGGACACGTTGCCCGTCTTGACGCGCAAACTCCAGCATAGTTGCGCACTTCAGTTGGGGCGGTTGGTCGCGCCCGTGATCTGTCGATCAACCAAATCACTCAAGACACCGGTACCAGTAGTATGGCAGCCAGAGCGTTTTTTTTGTGAATGCCGTCGCATGACGTCACACGTTTTTGCGCAAAGGTCCTTCACTGACTACGCGTGGTGATTGGTCGATCAATTGGTAAGACTGGGGTAGGTGGCGCGTGACTTGTAGCTCCAGCCATGGGGAGAGGAATACTGGAAGTGCACGCGTGTTAGCCCAAAGGCAATGCTTCCTTACTTTGGCTTCTTTGACTTTCTCCATCAGGGCTTCATGATCCATTTGGCTCAGGTTGAACACCTGTTACAAAAGGCAATTGACACGAGCATATATTTAAAATAGATCTTTACAATAAATTAATGAATAACCAAATAAATATATCCACCATGCGAAAACACCAAAGGATTGCCACACTATCTACGATAAACAATACAAACAGATTTCGAAACGGAAAGGCTCCACATGAAGTAATCAGTGAGGACATCACATCGTCCGAAATGTGACCCTTAGGGTCAACACTCCTACTCAACAGTTTTCATACTTCAAAGATTTCCATTTTGCTTTTGACTATTCAAAATCCAAATTAAGCAAAAAAATGGTGAAATGCGAGAACACACTTAAACCTTTGATCTGCTACGGTGGTGCCCTACAAATGCTGCTTCAATGCCTGACGGGGTTTTTTTTATTTAACCTTCATTTATAAACAAGACCGACTGAACTGCCGACAAATTGCATCTGAAGCAGCGCGAGTTGAAACCCCTCCGACGTGGTTTTTCGGGTCGTGCCGCGGGCCGCATGTTTCGCTCCGCACACGCTCACGGAGCTTGTATCGGAATTGTGCTTGGCTCCCGAGCAAGCTCTCGGCGCGCGGAAGCGAAACGTCGGGGCACCGTGCCGAACGACGCCGCGGCAAAGGCACGTGCCCGAGAGCCCATCGCGAGAGCCGCACGTGTCGGCGCTCCCGCGGAAAGCCCGCGCTGGACAAACGCGGGCGAGAGTTCAAACGACGGCAGGTCCTCGCTTCATGCGCGTCGGCGGTCGTGCTACGACGCGTCCTCGCCGCAACGCGATTCTTCCACTCGAGAATGCTTTTGGCACAACGCGGGAACGCGCTCGCCGTCGTAATGCGGAACGCGCGCGCCCCGTTACAACGCGCCCTCTGAGCGGTCGACACCGAACTACTTTCTAGAAGCTTGCGCGGCTGAGCAGTTTCATCAGAGGACACGCGGAAGGATGCAGCGACGCGGCGGCGCACTCTCAGTTATTTGCCCCGCCATCTGTGTGTGCGTAGCAGTAAGTACATCGTGTCTCGGCAAACTTCACAGTTACATTATTTATGGGAAAATTGTTTTTGCTTCACGACTTTTTCGCTTAACGCGGCACTCTTCAGAGACGCATCTACCGCGTTACGCGAGGACTTACTGCCCTCTGGTCCCCAACCATTCTGAGCCTCCTCATGAATGGTGTGACTATAATGTAAGAAAATCTGGGGAAAAACATTTGTTTGGGTATAGAATGTATGATTGCGGTTAGAAATAGCACACATCTGATTGTCCACAAATTAATCCATTCAAATGGATTTCCTTTCATTTCATTACGTAGGAATTGTAAAACTTAATCAATTTGATTTGTACAAAATGTATGCGACGAAGGGTGTCCTTTTATGTCAGCGATCAGGCAGATACGAGACAGGACAAATGAGACAGACGGAACCAGGGCCGCAAACATTTAAATGCGACCCAAGACAGCGCTCGCTGTCGTGGAGAACAGATGAGACAGGACGCACAGCAGACAGGGCACAGACCGTACGAATGAGAGAGACGAGACCGACGGTATGAGCTCGCCAGACATCGCAGACGAGACGGCACAAACAAAACAGAATCGCGTCCAGATTCAAATCGCGGTGGCAACTCTCTGAATAAGGCGGGGGGGGGGGTGGATTGCGAAGAGTTGCTTGATCAGTAAACAGTGTTGTTAGGCTCACGTACAATGCTATTGGTAATGAGTAATAGTGAGATGTTAGTGCAAGGGTGAGGAACACACGCCCCATGGGCTGATAAGGCCCCCCCCCCCCCGAGTTCATTTTATAGGAGGCAAAGCATCTTAGCCACCCTAATTGGGTTCGAGAGGGGAACGGTTTTTGACCTGGCAACACCGCGCTTATAATTTTAACCCCGCTCTCAAGTCACTGACGTCACTGCAAGGGGGCCTCTTGCGGTGACCGAAATGACTGAGGTGACTGCTCATGTGTGGGCCGCGCGAGGTTCGCTCCGGTTTCCACCAACGTGGATAGGCACCCATGAATTGCCTGAAGACATCTGAATATCTAGAGGAGTGCAGAGCTTGGGCAATTGTTGGCACCAACTCACGCCGCCTGGCTGCTGCCTTTCCGGCTTGTCTGTGGCTCCTCGGCGACTGCGAGATGCAATTTGCATGAACGCTGTACAAGACCACACGTCATCATCATTATTATTATTATTATTCATCATTATTGTGTAACGAGTGGAAAGTCTGGCGACATGGGTCCTCGAGCAGGTTCAGGAGGCGAGAAGTCTGGTCGGAGCAATCCAAAACGGGTGGAATATATGGCTTTGGCACGATGTCTCAAGATAAGAAAATCTCGATGACGGATGTTTTGGAAGGAAGTTAAAATTTGAGGAAAGGGGCCAAGCAGCGGTAAAAAAGAAAGCACGCACACTGCCGCTCGACAACTCAACGGAGGGGGGTGAGGCCGTGTACAGTTGTGTCCTATTCTTGCGCACGATGGCGGAAGGTGTTCGGGAGCTAAAACGTCAATGTCGAGGTCTGCTGGCCAGGACAAGGGGGCCTCAGCGGAGAGTTACATTGAGAAACGTGCGTTTAGATTGTTTGGCTGCTGTCAATTTCCACCTGATAAGCCGCTGCGCTGAGCTATCATTCGCGGTCAGGTCGCTACTGAAAAATCAGATAATAGCTCGGTGGGCTTTACTTGGTAAAATATATTTTTTAAAAATTGTTTGCTTACCTTCCTATACTTTGCACTTCTATTGTGTTTTTGTATCGGTTGTTGTTGTTGTTGTAACTTTCTGACCCGACCCTACTTGACATCTGTGAAAAAGAGCCTTATTATAGGCCATCGGATTCCTCCAGTATAAATAAAGATTCTGATACAGTGATATGAAGAAGAGGCCCCAAGATCGCACGGGATCGAGGGAGTTTGAGCCAGAGAGAGACTGCTGTCGGCCACAGCACGTGTGTCCGCTGGACTTCTTTCGCGCCGTACGTAGCCAATCGCGCTAATCGAAGGTGCGGGACTAAAGCAGGAAAAAAATTTCCCCGCCCTGTGTCCCCCCGGTGAGCGGTTAGTGATGCGTGAGAGTGATGTCTGGTGCGATGATTTAACTGCGACCCCCGCACGGGAGCCCAACCCATCACTGACCCGCTTGAGGTATCCGTAGAGCTCGTAGTCTTCGTTGACGTAGTCCTCGGTGGTCTCGCCGCTCCGGTGCATGATGGTGTAAAGGGCCTCCTCGTACAGGTTGTCCAGCTGCACGCGGGACAGGACACGTGGGGCATGTGTCTGCGTGAGCTTGTGTGCGTCCGTGTGTAACCTTGGGTCTGTGTGAGCTTGTGTGTGTCTATGTCTACGTGTGAATGCCTATGCGTGTCTACATCAGTACCTCTGTGTGCCTATCTGAATGCCTATGTGTGTGTCCGCGTGAGTACCTGAGAGTGTTTGTCTATTTAAGTGACTGTATCTATCTGTGTGGGTGCCGGTGTGTGTGATTGTGAGCTTGTGTGTGCGTACGTATGTGAGCGCTGGTCTGTGTATATGATCTTAGGTATCTATCTTGTGGAGCTATGCACTTTCAAATATAAATTGAAAACTAATTTCTTTGGAACTGCTTTTTGCGTTTAATTTGTTGTCCTTCCCCTGCATCTCCGATTTGCACATTTGACTACGTACTGTGTGTAGCTGTGTAGCTGCGTGTGTCTTTGGGGTCTGGTAGCGTAGCGGTTAGCGAAACTGCGCTACAAACCCAGTTGCCCTAGTTGGATTCCCAGTCACGGCCAACACCAAGTGACGATTATCTGAACCAGTCCTGGGCCTCCCCTAGGTCCACTCAGCTTGGTGTGAAGTATAAACCTCAGCACTGGGGGAGACAAAGGCAGCCGGGTGTGTTCCTACCCACCCACGCCCCTCGTGTGCCGTGCCGGCCTTCATAGGTGCTCACTAACAACATTTGCCCCAACAGGCTGTTAAGGCTATAGGGGCAGTTTTGGTCTTTGTATGTGTTGTATGTATGTGCGTACTTATGTACGAGTCATTCGCACCTCACGCTTGGAAAGCTTAACGTTCTCCATCAATTTGCCCTGAACGGGAGCTTCTTCCAGCAGTGGAGCACTTACTGTGGATTCCTGAGGAAAGGAAAACAAAAACGATCTGTAGAGTTGCACAAATTGCTGCTCGCACGCTTCTGTGGTTGGGGCTGGAAGGGTACTCAGAGACTCTGAGGTGCTGCGGATGTCTATCCCGCACCTTCGAGAAGCACAGTTGGCTACGTATGGTGCTATAGAAGTCCGACACATACAGATGTGGTGTAATAATAGCGCTGGCAGGTGGACAGCAGCGGCAACTGTGGTGGACAGACAGCACACACGCCGGTGAGCGTGAGCACGGTGTGTGTTGGCAGAGCGGAGGAACTGGGGCAAGGGTCACGGAGGACCCCATCTGGAGGCCCCTGGAACCTTCTAGCGGGTTCGAGAAGGGAGGCGAGGTCGGGGCGGAGCCTTGCCGTGCTGGGAGCATGAAAGGAGCTGAGAGCGGGGGGCTCGGGGCTGCCGGTTCTGGGATTGTATTTGTCTGATCGTTGCTGTCGTCTCATCGCCGTCGTCACTAAACGTCTCCACTAGATATTGCGCTATGAAGGATAGTAGTTGGTTATCTCAGTCAGCGTCGTCAGTATTAGACAGCGCCGACAGTGTTAGAGTGTGCGGACGAGATCGTGAAAGTTGTTAATAAAGAACGTGCCTCCTAGAAACTCTGTCTCTGAATCGTTGACATTACACATACATGGGTTTAGCAGCAACATGTTCGGAAGCTAAATGCCAATGTCGAAGTCTGCAGGCCACGAAGATGAAAATTGAGAAGAGGGTTCGTGTAGTTTTGCGATTCCGCCTCCGCTGAAGGAGCGCCGACTATGGCGGTTTACTAAATGGGTCCAAAGTTTGGGTTGCATGGCCACAAACGCACCACTGCAGATCGTGTCTTTCATTTTCAGTTTGTGATGGTGAAGGGCGCGCATGGGCCTGTTGATGGTTCCACGAGTGTCTTCATGGCGGAAGAGGAGGAGGAGGAATGTCAGAGCCAGTAGGTTGCAATGCGTGGGTCTCGGTTAACGTATTCTTTCCGGTCGTACCTTTACAGGCGCACGTCAACTACACGTCCAACTTCTTCCGGGTTAAAGTTGAACTTGCAACGCATTCCGGCAAATCGGAACGAAGGGACGTTTGGGATTATTTCGCGTTGTTTTACGACGAGCACGCGCGTGAGTGCACGCTCGCAGTTCCCTGGATCGTTTTCTGAAAGTTCGCCAGCCGAGGAAAGTTTTACTCGAAACTGCCGTTGATGCGAAAATGACCTTATTAAATTGTTGGGAAGGTGTTCCATGTTAGAAACATAATCAAAAGGGTTTTTTTTTTATGTTTTTGTGGTTTCGTTTTTAATTGTACCTCTGCTGTATTTTAATTCGTTGTGACCGGGGTTATCTTATGTACTTGCTAGATGAGATTTCTCAGCAATGATGGCGTGTTTATTTATTTCTACTTTTCCTGTTAAATAAGCTTTCATGAAAAACATACATACATTTAATTGCTTGCCAAAAATGAGAGAAAACTGCTGGTCATTACCACGCTAACTAAAAATTCATAATGACAATCGCATGCTACTTTCCTGAAGCCCTGCATTGACATTTTCGCCCAATTATTTTCAACTAATCTTCTGCATGTGGGAGGAAATCCGGAATGCTGTACCTAAATAAAATGCATGTATCCTAGATAACTCTCAAAATTCCACACAGATGGCTTCACAAACCTCTAAGTTGCTCTTATCCAATCTATTAGCTACCTCACAGCCCCGGTGATCCACAGCCCGGTGATCCACCAATCCTTGTCTCTGAAGAGCGGGATCACAAGCGTGCTCGCCAAAAAAACATGTTATCTTCATCTTGGCTTTGGAATGTTTGCCGTGACAAATTTGTAGACGATAGGTTAAGAGCACCTATTAAGGCATAGCACAACGAGGAGGTTGTGGTGGTGGTGGTGGTGAGACCGGCACTACCTCGATCTGGAAGCCAATTCACCCCTCTCTCTGCGTAGGTACACCACCTCTGATCCTGCCCGTCAATTCCAATGCGGTCAGCATTTTGTTATTTTTAGCCACAGTCTTAAGTCAAGCCGACGACAACCTGTGGAGTTTTAGCCGAGTCCTAGTCCGCAGATTCCACACGGTAATTCCCGTAGTCGCGTCGGCTTAAGCAGTCAAACGCTCTTCGCTGCTCGACGTTGGTGTGAGCAGAACGCAATTCCCCTCACACACTTTTCGTCGGGTCAGCCAATCGGTGAACTCAGTAAATATTTTAATAAACACGTATATGCAGTCAATCAATGTGTTCGGTCTTCCTCACCGTGCCATTGTCTCGTGTGAATTACCTCAGTCTGCGTCTATCATTCAGACTAGGTAGTATTGTCTGGTCATCATCAGGCATGCTAAGAAGAGGAGGGGCAAAACTGTATGAGGAGGCCCCCCGATCCGAAGCCCTTTGCACCAGGGCCTGTGCTCTCACGCTAGGCCGCTGCAATAGAGGGTTGCTACCTCGCACGCAAGCGCACGAGGGCACGGGCACACACTGGAGGAAAGAGGTGAAAACTTGCCAACAGATCTGGGTTCCTGTACTGATCCAAAATGCTGCCGACTCTTTCAAAGAACCCCTGGTCTGCTTTCACCTCCCTGAAAAACAACAGAGAGACGCGAAAACACATTAGCGCTGAATCCATTAATATTATTTAAACCCTGTTAAGACTTTAACTTTGTCACCATACCTCCTTTCCCGTCAAGATATTAATCTCTGCCCTTTCAAGTGCTCTTCTTTCTTCTCTCTGCCTTAGTGCCCGTGTCTCTGAGCCACATGACAGCACCGGTCGTTTCGCCGTTATATAATTGACCCGGTTATAAAAAAATTATATTAAAATTCCTGATAATCTCCGCAGGGACATGATTACCAAGGCTTTCCTTCGACCGTGAACAATGCGACATAAACATTTATGAGCCGTACGACATCAATCCCAAGAGCAGGTCATTGTGTTTAAGGATCCCCATAGCTTAACATCACCGGTAATAATTAGGTGGACTGGTAGCGCAGTGATGACAGCATGCTGATTCTCGTGGACCTGGTCCACCCGAGTTGGATTCCCGGCCATGGCTAATCAGTATTGCCGAGTGAATATCTGAAGCGTCCCTGGGCGCCTCCCTTCCCCAACCCGCAATGACGAGCATGGTGAAGTGCGCTCAAGCAAAAACAAACGTCGATTCATTATTTGTTTCTTCTGGGTTAGATCTTCGTGTAAGTATAATGGAAGTTTTTTTTTACTGCAGTATATCCCTCCACCACCTGATAGAACCAATAAAATCAAGTTGTCACTTTGCCAATTGATTTGGTTATCAGCAACAACCAGAATGTTGAAAAGGCAGCAAATGCCATGTCAAGTGTTGCCATGAGCAATATGGGTAAAAGCAAATATTTGCAGAACTCAGATAATATTAGGTGTCTCCAGATATGACCAAACAGTTTAATCTATCAGCCTGTTGGCTTTCCAATCGAATATTTTTCAAGCTGCATTTGTTTAAGCAAGAAAGCCTGATTGCTGATGAGAGCCAGACGGTCAAAATAATTTGAAAGTTTGCTTGCTTAAACAAATGCTGCTTAGATATATGGGTCTGAAAAGCTAATAGTCTAAGACAATGTATTTTTTTACATGTGATAATGAAAGTCAAAATCACGATTATTTCTTAATTTCCTGCTCAAATAAGCATTGAGGCTGTGCTCATCTCCTGCTGACAGAAAAGAGTCGGTGGTGGGGGGGGGGGTGGTTGGAGTCTATCCATATGACAACCACAAGTTGACTTCCCCCGAAAGTTGGTACCCATTTTATTGACCCAAGCAGGACGATGGACTTAGCCGACCCCTCTTCAGGATTCGAACTGACAACTTGATTGTGATTCCATGTGTGCGAGTCAGCCCTATGGCTGCTTGAGGAGTTTGGCTCCACTGTGCAATCACAATGAATATGACGACGAAGACGATGATGATGATGATGGTGAAGAAGTTAATGATTATGATGATGATGAGTCAAACCCGAACCAGGACTTGAACTCGCGACCTTTCCATTGCGAGCTGCTCGCCCTTTCGACCACCGAACCACGTGGCCGGATAAATGACACAAGTGAATTAATCAATTTGCCTCGTTGAATTTACACTGAGATCCTTGGTGGCGACGCCTTGAGGGAGTATGTCCCGCCACACAGCCTGGCACGGCGCTGGTTTTAGTCGCCAAATGATTAATGGCCTAGTGCAACAGGGAGACACACACACACGAGAGAACTGCAAGCCACAAGCCAGCCAAGCCTTCCCTCCCTCCCACCCCCCTTGTCTTCCTCCCCGCGGGAGAAGCACTTGTTGATTCTCGCTGTCAAACGCTTCCCATTACGACTGTGCTAGAATATCGGGCAGGCAGGTGCCAAAAAACGCCACTCTCTCCCGACAATGCCAGTGTTGTGATTTATACGATCGCCCACACAAAAGGCACCGTTGAGTGTAAATGCTCATTTTGAGGAATATCCTACTCGGGGGTATTTCGTCAAATTCTTTATCTATTTTTTTGTTCATTAGAGATGATGACGGAGTACAATGGTTTGACACACGATCTCCCGGCAACGGCAGTTGAAACAATGGGCGAGATTCTTAAAACCATCCACCTGCCACCACCAGCAATATAAATTGGTGGGTTCTTGGGTCTTTCGGTGGGGTCACGTGGATGGGAAACAGTGGAATGGTGAAGGTATAGAATAATACAATTCTCACGACGTTTCAAGAATATGAATCCCTGCAATCACGAAAGCTTTAAATAAAAATGTGTTTGTTTTCTCATTCATTCGTACCTGATGATGGTTGCTTGTGTTGCAATCGAAACGTCGTGAGAATTTTATTGTTTTATATTTTTATTATTTTATTGTTTCCCTTCTACGTGACTTTACCGAAAGAACCAAGAATACGGTGCACCACAGTTCGTCTATGATCGGCAGGTGGCGTGTGCTGGGGTAAAGTGTGGGTACTCCCACCTCGTTTTGGTGTGCCGCGGTGGCGAGATGTTAGCGACCTCGCCCGGTATACAGGACGTCGTGGGTTCAATCCCTTTACCCTGAGTTTGCGTGTTCTCCCCGTGGCCGCGTGAATTTTTCTCCGGGGTCCTCCGGTTCTTCCACCCACATTTAGAATCAACGTGCGTTTAGAGTATTTGGCTGCAATACATTTCCACGCGATGGGCCGCTTTGTTGAGCTATCATTTGTGGCCAGGTCGTTTCTGAAGAAAGAGCTATGCAGCTCAGTGGGCCTTTCCTGGTCAAATAAAAATTGTTGATAAATAGTTTAGTTTTTTCCAAGATGTCCCATAAGTGCGAATGAGTAAGTCAAACACCCTCTATCGGGGGGGGGGGGGGGGGCTTTCGATAGCCCCCTCCAAATGGAGGCCTTTCCGCGAGCGTTGGCGTGAGCAATTGCGAAGCTGCACTTGCACCTTTAACTTGACCTTTTAAAATGTTTACGTCGGAATGCACGGAGGAGGAATTTACGCGCGGAAAAGAGAAGAACAACACTCCGCACGGACAGTTCAGGAACCCCTGCTAACGAGTTGTGGCCAATTCTAAAGCAGCGTCAGGACGTGGCATCGACGTTACCATCGCCACCGCCGTGGCTGTTGCGCTGATTATCATCGCGGGGTTAACCCCTGCCATTCTGGATCCAGTCCTTAAGGTTCAGGAGCCCTTCCCTTCAAGCGGCGGCGAACTCGCCAGGGACAAAGAAACAACAAGTCCTGTCCATCGTATATTGCTCGCTTTCTGGAAGCGAGCAATATGTGACGAGAAGGTGAAGGCGCAGCGCTGCGATTATTTGTGCTCATGCCACTGCTGGGAGAAGGGCCCTCCACGAGAGGAAACCAGCTCGAGCGAGCCCCTTACAGAGTGTGTCGATTTACTCTTCCACGCTGGGCCAGATGTCTTGGAAGAAGGGTGGCAGCACCCACACTTTACTCCACCACACGTGACCTGCAGTTCGACTAACAGTGGTCTACCCAATTATAATGCTGCGTGGACAAGAGGCATGGGATTTTAATAAACACGCACCACTGTTTCAACTGCCACGCGTACGGATCGTATTGAGCCGGTGACCTCTGGCATCGCAAGTCCATTGTGCCGACCGTTGCACCACTGTGGCCGCATCCCCACGACTTTTCGAAAATAAACGTCCCCCCTTAAAACAATCAAAAGACAAAGATCCTTCGTGTAGCCTTAGCATACTTTTGAGGTCAAGTGCTGCTAGCGGCGCGCCTACGAAGGCCGGCACGGCACGAGTGTGGGTGGGCGGTCGGTTCCACGCCCGGCCGCCTTTGTCTCCCGAGCGGCGATGTTTACACACCGCAAAAAGGCACTCAATTTGAGGCCGAGTCGACCGGTTCAAAAAAATCGTCACTGGTATTGACGGCCGTGAGCAGGAATCGAACTCGGGTCGCCGGGTTCATAGCGCGGCGCCGCTAACCACCGCGCCACCGAAAAACACGCACACGCGCGCACCCTCAGACGTCTGCGCACACACACGTGCGTTGTGCTGCATCGACTTCCACCTGGTGAAACGGAGCTTTGATTGATCTGTATCGACCGCTTCTGTGTGAGACATTTAAGATAAGACGAGAGTGGGCTCCTTTAATGCATGCGGGTAATCCCTTGCAGGAAGTGACTGCTGCACGAGTCCACAATGGAGCAGGGGGGGGGGGGGGGGGGGGCTTAATGAAAGGACAAAATAGCAGGCCAGGTGTGCGGCATCGACGGAATTCAGTTTTCATCCGTGATGCCAATAAATGACGGATGTAATGAGATTAAAGCTCACGGAATCTGGAGAACCATCTCGCATTTTGCGACCACGTGAGAGCAGAGGTTTTCAGAGGTAGCGTGATTGTGTGAGTATAGTTGACAATGTGCCGTACATTCTATCGTAGTATTCACGGAGCAAGTATAGGGCACAACTCCATTCTGCGTCTCTATATGTAAACATGTCTTTCGTAAATCGGCCTACATTGACTTTTCAGACCAATATCAAGCAAAATGTATTTTAGCAAGAAAACCCTGAACCGGTTTAGACCATCTGGGTCTCATCGGTAGAGTCAGGCTTGTTTCACAAACGCTGATGGATTACCAGATGTTATTGGCAAGAGCACTCCATATATGCTATGTTCAATGCCAAACGCGATGAGTCTGTTGATAGTCTCTTTTGCGAGGAAAATTTGTGCCTCAACATTACAGGGAAAAAAACGCAGCAAATATTTCATTATTTATTAAACCTGTATATATATTTAAATGCCCTATTGTAATTGAGAGCCAATTATAATGCACAATGAGGCAATATGGCTTTGTATTCAAGAATGTGATATGGTAAGCAGACAATATATCCCTCCGCATAAAAAATATATACAAATAAAAGTGTTTGGATTTTTTTTCAACATATTCTATCAGCCACACACGGCCTTCCTTCTGGGAGTACATACATTCATCAGAATCGATTCAACATTCAGTGTCTCATCAGCAGAGCCACCAGACTTGCTTGCACCAATGCGGGCGAACTGCAGCGTGTTTATCGGTGAGGACGCCTCTCTGTTAGATATGGGTCCTAGTTTGATGTA